AAAACCAGCTATTTTATTTCACTGGACAATTAATGCAAAATTCACCTTTTGTTACAATTTTGTCTATAAATTTACCATTAATGCTTACCAAGGCTGTTGGGATACAGTATTTCAAAGCTGTGAGTCAGATCAAGGTGAAAAACACAAGGTGACGGGGATTAATTTACTGAAAAAATTAATATACTTGAAATAAGAAGCAGTCTGGAGATGAATACACGAAAGCATAACCTGCTTTGAATTTAAACACACGTATTAAGGAGAGGACTGTGTATAAGTAAGGCGAAAGGCAACTATGTAGAAACACTAGGTTTTATGAATGTAGTTTAGTTTTTTCTTCTCTATCTTCAACAACAGTTTTTCAAAAAATACAATACATTCTCAAACCCTACCTGCTCCCCAGATGATTTTGTGTTTTCTATACAATAACAAAACTTAATGCCATTCCAACAGTATACAGACAAACCAGGTAAGAATCTGAAATGTTCTGTAAAATTGAGTACACTACACTCAACTTTCCATACTGTTATGCAATTCTTGGTTTTGTTTTTTCCTCTAAGTATTTTCATTTTTATTGTGTACTTTACTTCAATTATGCAAACACCAAATTTGTTGTAGTATATAAAAATATAATATAATTTTAAAGATAATGTTCTGAGATGTCAAACATATACATTTTGTTTTTTTGTACAAAGATTGGGATCAGACAGAAAAAGGTTCCAGTGGCATTTCAACATTAAAACCCAGTGAAATGCAATACACTACATCTTCCCAATCCACTATAACAGGTATAGATTATTTTAATTTTGTTATAATATTTTTTTAAACAGTGAGATCTTTATGTACAGTAAGTAAAATCACAGACTTTACACAGTTAAAGTATTGTTTGCCATTTGAGGGTTAGCTAATATAGCTTCATTGGTGAAAGGAGATCTCAAGAGACTACTGCAATTCCTTGACATTAATTAAAGATGGCATACTATAACATGTGTCTTTGGAGAGTAGTTTTAATCAACAAAATGTCTGCAGACCACAAGGTCTATATTAAAATATAAGCAGAGGTTAATTCTCAGCTGGAATCTTCATTTTCATACGGTTGAAGATGGAAACACAGCCAAAGTGCTGTGTTTTTTTTTCACAATTCCACTTTTCAGCATGGAATTAACTCCAACTTCTCTGGAGCTTGCTTGCTGACACATCTCCCCCACTCTAAACTACATACAGTACGTGCTATTTTGCCGTTTCACCCAAGCTTAATATACATTTTTATTCCATTCCTAGAACCAAGATCCAGTGTCATACCCTCTTTTGTTTCTAACGGAATGATTACAAAAGTATTTCCTCGGGATAAACCAGGTAAGAATGCGAAAAACATTTTGGTGAATAAAACTTGCTACATCTGTAGTGTGACATTTCTGAAAGTACACTTCATCTAAAAGGAAACCTTAGTCTTTAGATACAGGATTTCTCTAGGCAGTGTGTTGAAGGGCAAGAAAGTGAAGAGCACAGAGAGAGCTCAAAGAGCAGGAAACTTAAAAGCACACAGGCAGTATGGTACAGTCAGAGGTCTGCTTGGTAGTGATATTCTAGGGTCTGAAAGGATAACTTTAGAGCGAATCATTTACTCTTTAATGCAAAACATTTTTATGCATCAAAACTGATGCACTTTCCCATTTAAGGTGTTCAAAGTCAAGCTCACTGGAGCAGGTTTAAGCTTTTCCCTAGAAAGAGCTTCTACCTTAAAGAGGGTTTTAAGCCTGAATGGTTGGGTGACCCACCAGCTGAAATGGCTACATTTTGAGGGCTGCATCACGAGAAAAGTAGAACTCAATGGGAAAAGCAAGAAGCAGCTCTAATCCAATTGCGCAAAGGTAAAAATAACACATACTGTACACTGCCCCAATACTTTTAGTAAGTTTATCCCCAAAATGTAATGTGGAATTATTTTGGATAGAAAATATGGAGAAGTCACATGTGCAAGTCCTGGCAGAATGGCACAGAAATGTCCATTGCAATTAATAATTAAAATAAATACTATTGTTTTCATGTATTATTAAATTACTTTAAATAAATCTATACTAAGAAATACTAAAAATAAAACGCATTTCAACACTGAATTAAATGTTTGCTGAAAACCAAAAGGAACTTGTCGCTTACAACTTTAGCAGACTCAAGCTATTGTCATTTCTAGAAGGTGCACTTACATTTCATTCAACACAAGTGACAGGTAAATTCATGTCACTGGTGAGCATTTGACATCAAGGGAGTCTGCTCTGGATTTTTTAAACTACTAGTGTGAGATGATGAGATCATCAGCCGTTGAATTATTCAGCATCATTTGAAAATATGTTTAAAATATTATTTTAAAATATATTTTTTTAAAAAATCATTCAAATGTTTACAGGGTAAGAATATTTCTGCCTGTCTTGATTTTAATTAAACTGACATTTGGATATTTTGAGAGCTATTGAAAGAGCAGAAAAGAAGGTAAAACAACCAATAAATCACTGTCACAAGTTAGAGCACTTCCTATCAATTAAATTACGTATATAACACCTTTACACATGTTAAAAAAAAACCTTGTACAAAAGCTTTACTGCATTTGCATCAACTGATACTGACACTGGATGGCAGCAGATATTAAGTTTCATTAGTGCTAGAGCCTTCTCTTTATAAGAAAGACCTATTGGAAGTTTCCTTGTAAAAGACCCATTTTATAAAACACTAATAGATATAATTGGAATGTATTTATCCTTCCTAATTAGTTCTTATAAAACTAATTTAGCCTCCCCACTTTTTGGATGGTAATGACAGCAGCATACACCTGAAAGAAGTCTTGATTGGAACCTACTGTACAGTAGTGGAATCTCTCTGGGTTTGTGATTTAATAAGACAACCTTGGATAGAGAACACTAAAAAAGCAGAATCTGTGCAAATGTGCAAAAGATGCCTTAGAAATAATACAGTTTTATGTTGTCTTGATTGTAGGGATCCTTTAGTAACAGTCTTGGTTTTAACAGTCTGACTTTGCTTTAATAAAAATAACTCTCAAACACATTTTCAGTTTTAGCACAATCTCTGGCAGTTTAGGTACTATACATTTCTTTTCTGTTTCCTTATAATTGCCTGGTGCACTGGCTAGTTTCATCATTCACCACAGCAATTATTTTGTCTGCATGCGTTTAGCAAGAGTAGGAAGTTATCATCTCATAAAAAGAGCCAGCCTGATGAAAGCGGTGTTTTGTTTCTTTGCACACAAAAATGATGACTGCATTCCGCTTTTTCTTGGCTTGAAACAGTAGTCTGATTATATGTTATGTTTGTGTGCTTTATTACGTAAAGGGAACCAGGGACTTCTTTACCCGGACAGTAACTGTTACATAGAGTACAGCGAACTGGTTTATAGTTTGTTATCCTAGAAATCACCATTCCACTAGAGGGCTCTACAGACCTGTTAAACTGCAACTTGAATACTCATGCTATGTATGGATATGGTACAACTCTCCTGGTCTGGGCTTAAAGTTATTATTAGGGACTACAAACTTACTGTATGCTTTTGTGCTTATTTTAAAGAACCAAACCTTGATTATAAATGTATTTGATTTAGAGACTTGGCTCTGCCTATGAGACAAGTCCTACAACCATGTTGTCTGTAAACGATTAAAAAAAGTCTCAAAGCTCACTGTTGTTTGTCATGGAGTCAGAATTTTTTTTCTCAACATTCATAGTGAAGTTCTAAGTAAAAATAACAACAGTGAGTTTAAATATGACCATGAAGCTCAGTCTAATAAGATACATTTAATGCCTAAATATTAATGTATGTCTTCAAGATCTTTGGATGGCATTCTTACAGACATTCTTAAAATCAGATTCTGCCTGTTCTGCTTTTTTTCTTTTTTTTTTTTAATTGTGGTATTTAGGTTAAAGGCACCCAAACATTTCTTGAAGAATATATTTACAGTATTCCTACTGGCCCCAAAATGAATTCTGATAGGTATAAATATGTGGGCTGATCAGTAAACTACTCAACTGGAGCAACAGAAAGCCAGTATAATAAATAACATACTGTAAGAAAGATACTGTACCAAACAGGAGGTGGACATTTGACCCCTCTGGTATACATCATTGGTGAAAATAAACATTTAATTAAACTCAGCTAGATTTAAACATGTAATTTTTGTAACACCAGCACTTTGGCCTCTCAGTTATAGGTAGCTTTTTTTAGAATTGCTTCCCTCGAGAACTGTTATCATTTTTGTCTGCAGAAATGGAGCAGAACAGTAGTAACTGCTGTGTCTGAATTGGATTTTTATATTTCCTAGGCTGTCCCTGGGAAAGGCCGAAAGTAGTAAATGTGGTGACAGAAGCTATGGTGACCACTGAGCTCCCTGTGACAGTCATTCCGAAATTGAACACTTGTGTGATGGAGATGTGTAGGTTCTTCCAGCGATGCCTTTGTCGTGTGTATTCAAAGAGGCTGGAATTAAGGTGGGGTATCAAAATTAAATGTCGCATGATAAGAATCTGTACACAATTGTGTTTGGTTAATGTAACCATGAAGATGTACAGTATTCAAGTATACAGTAGTCTTGCTGATGTGATAACAAATACTAGCACGTACCTGTTTCTATACAACAATGTTTAACATTACACATTCCATATTTCATATGTTCTGTAAGAACACTTTTTTTAAAACTTTTTTTAGATACTGTGCTGAATATTATTCCTGGTATGTGAAGCACAATTCTGAGATGTGCAGAAAGGTGAAAAGGATTGCCTTTTCTAAGAGTAAGTAGAGTTTGCCTTTTTTCCTTTTACTAGTGCAGTTACTGTATGTGTGGTGTCACCTATAACCTGAAATTCTTTTGTGGAGAACAAATTTCCCTCTCAGTAGAAATTACTTAGGGTGAAATACCAGTACAGTGTTGTATTATGATTAATCTATTATTAACATATGAAAATTGGTCCATATCTGCAAGAACAAGCTTGTTTCTGTGAAAATATATAAATGTGCTGCTGCAGTACAACTGAATACTCATCTCACTTTAAATACATTTCCAAAACCCTTTCAATCTGTCTTTAACCAATTTCTTAGCAGTGAAACTACTTACAGTTGCTAATGGCAACTCTTAACATCTGTTTTCATTGCTCTTCCTAATTTTCTTAGTCTCAGTGCTATACGATACTGTAAATTATGACTACCTAATGGTGTTAGGTATTGGCTGACTAAAACTATCACAAATAGGGATTCAAATGTATTTGTTACAGATGGCAAATAAACTTTCACTCGGGCTTTAAAAATGCCCTATGATCAAGGAAAAGTGATGTACTGTAGGTGATACAGTACTTCAAATGAATCGATAAGTCAAGTCCCTGACTACTCTTGGCACTTTTCAAAGTTTTTTTCAAAGACTGTTATCTCTGGTGTCTGACCTCCCTGAAGTTCCATCTTAACTCTCTGAAGCAATTTCTAACTTCTGCAACTGAACAGCTGTGAAATAGGACTGTTGGTGCATATTAGTCGAACCACATTACTCAGGTGAGGTCTGCAATTAATTGGTGAAAGAAATGCATTCTCTCATACATGAAGCTCATGTAGTATGGTATGAAAGAAAAAAAAAAGATTAATTGATTCTGATAAGAATAATAATTCTGATTATTATTTATTATTATTATTATTAAGATTATTATTCTGATAAGAATAATAATAAAGGTTACATTACATTTTCATGTTTCATATTCATTTTGATGTATGATATTGAAATGAAATGGTCTAAGACTGTCACTAAAGTACCAGTTTAAGTACTAAATTGCTATCCTGACATTTTGGATGACATTTCAGTGACAGTTGTTTTCACTTGTTTCTACTTTTAAATGCGATAAGGCTGAGTAAGCGATAAGCGATAAGCGATATCTGATTAGGCTCTAATAAGATAACATTGTTAGAAAGGCTTTTTTGGTGATTGTTTCATCTTCTGTGTTTGCTGGATGTAACTTTGTGATTTTAATTTGTTTATTATTTGGCAGTATTTTTATGTATTGTAACATTCTTTTAGGTGGATGCTTTTACAAAATCACATTTTTATCATTGTGCTCTCTTTTTTAAAACAGTGTTATACTCTTCTCTTTATTTTGTATGACTTGAAATGGAATTGGAGAAGTACAGTATATACTGTTGTATAATGTTTTTCATTGATTTCCCATGTGCTCTGAAATTGTGTTTCAAGGTTTACTATATCCCATTGCTAAATAATTCTTATCTTGGATCTGCATAAAACATCATCTTGCTTCAGGTCAGATTTCCACTTGCAGTGCAATGCATGCAGCCCAGAATATTTTTTTCTGTCAGCATTCTTACTCATTTAAAATGCATTGACCTACAGCTGTTCTGTGGTACATATTTGACTTTTATTTATAGATGAAGTTGACTACAGTCTGCCTCTTTTTTGCCAACTATGGAACTCTTGCTGATACCTGAAAATGAAAAGAAATTTAATTCAAACGTCAAGATATTCCCAAAGTAACATCTGAATGTGATTTCTTTGCTTAATATTAAAGCTTTCTGAATTGGATTTCGAAGATAATAACATAAGGACAGTCTGTGGACTAGTAAAAGCAAAAATACACATTTTCTAGCATGCTGCAGAATGGATGTAACATGATTTTAGGCAAAATAAAACTTGACGGGGGTTTATGAATTTCCACTGCCAGAGATCCCAACTGTTCATGCCAGGTCTGTTTTATTCTGTGTCCCCCTGATCTGTGCAGCAGGGGAGCTGTAAATAGTTTTGAATTGTTAAAAACTATACCAGCATTAGATAAAAGCTTATCTAATGTGGGATGGCAAAGTAAAAGCAGAACAAAATGCAATATAATGAAATCCTGATGAAAGCACAGTAAAGCCTTTAAGAGGTATAATTAAGCATCATCTACAGTACCATTGCAATCATTGCAAACAAGTATAGAGACTGCAGTTGTTCCTTTTAAAATGTGAAATACTCATTGGTCAAGAACATGGAAACAGTATTGAGCATTTAAGCAGAAGGCAGTAATTGAAATAAAATGTAAAGACCTATAAAAAGCGGACAGTCCTAATGCACCATCTCCATTCCATGCCGCTGGTAATCACACAATTTTGCACATCCTAAATTCAGCTTGCCAGGTTGTGAAACTAAAATGCTTCTGCAAAAAAAATCTTATACTGTTAAATATTAAATATTAAAGTATTAAACTGTGGAAATGACAAATTGCATTTTAGTCCATTAACAGGTGTTTGTGATTTAATGTCAAAGGTACGCCCTGCTGTAAGCATGTTGATAAGTGAGTTGGTTTGGATGAGCTCATGTCAGTTTCAATTCTCAGCTGATTAGTATCAGATTCTACAATCAAATAGGAATAACAGCATTGTTTAAATATTGCCTTTAATACAGCCAGTAAAAGTGCAATCATCAAAAAAGGTGTTCTAGGTCATTGCAGATCATTCATGAATTAGACCGGCAGATAAAAATTAAACATCTATTGATGTGGAGTAATTATAATGACAGCTCTTCCAAGCAGGGCTCTGACTGAATCTGTCAGTATTCATAATGAAGCTTTATTACTGCGTATAACAGGATGAATTGTTTTGCTGCTTTTTTTTATGCATCTACTGATGTTCTCCTTAGTCGACAATATTCAGAGGATTTACCATAGAAAACATTTCTACGGAGAGAATGTTAATCATGTTGATGCTGGATAAGATTTTAACAGTCAAGAATTTGATTGAGGTGTCCCTGTAATTTCATTGTTTGGGCACAGTTTAGGAATACCATGCTTTATTTTTAATAAATAATACAGGGACATCTATTGTAAACCATTTGTCTTTTGTTTATACCAAAGTTGCATAATTTTAAATCGACAGCTGTGAAAATGCACTAGAGATTTATTGGAATATTGGCATATCCTCTAATATGCAAGGCTTGTGGTCATCTTACAAATCTACATGCAGAATCTAATATTTAAATCTGAAATACTTTGATACATCCTACAATATGATGCCTCAGTGGACAGCAAATTTTATGCAGATGACTGAGTGGTCCTTGTCCTTTTGTGTGTTGTGATTTGTATCTATTTTCTTAATAAGAAAACAAAAATTTTATCTTTTATATAGACTTCAGTTTATTTCAGTCACTAAACAGAAACATATTATAGCAATATGTATACAATGCACAGATCCAAAATTAATCTAAAGTATCCTGTTTATTTTTTTCAGCTTTAAAACAAAAGTGTCTGGCAAAGATGTGCACAACCAAGTAACACAATCAAGAATCAGTGCCTCGTGTGTGGCCTGCGTCTTTGAAGTGTATGATGAAGTGCTTTTGTCTGATGGTCTGTGGATATGCTTTATATTGTGTGCCTCACATAAGCACATTGTCTTTGCTACTATCTACATGTCCCAACAACATTTAAAAGATGTTATGCAAATCATTTTTTTCCTAGGGTGTTTGTTAAATGTTCTATCTTCAATTTCTATTCAATATTTTGGATATAATTTTTTTCAGAAAGGTTCAAAAGTATTCAATCCACGTGAATGCCATTTGTACTGATATTTTATCCAGATCAGCATGTAATTATTGATGCAGAAATAAAATCTCTTTCATGCACTGGGTGGTGGAGAGAGTTTTCTATGTTTATAGGACAATAGTTGTACACTATAGAAGTACTACATACTGCACATGATGATATAAACACATTAATTAATTAATCTGCAATTAAATTGAATAAACTTTTCTTACAATAATTTGCTTTCACTATGATGTACTTGATTAAACACTGTACGGTAATAATACCAGATTTGTTTTATAAACAAGTGGTAGTTTAATAAAGGACGTTCTGTTACAGAAAAAAAGGTACAATATTAAAGTAAGCAAGACTGCTGACAGCTGACAGCGCCAAGGTCATAAACAGAACTAACAAAAGGATGAATGGTAACTCAAAAGCCCAGAGATACCAACATATTAATCATCCTGAGAAGCGATCATAATATTTAGCAAAAATATTTGTTTTTGAGTTGCTTAAAACAAGCACATTGAAACCATTTGGACTTTTATAGATTTCCCACTTCCAAAAACCTTTTGAACTGGAACATTTTGATGCATTGAAATTCTTACTTTCTCCAATTTAAACATGTTTTATTTGTAAATAGATTACATTTTTATTAGTTCTAAAACCAAATGTAAACATTCGAAATGAATTAGTATTTCGTTTTACAATGACTGGAGAGGATGGGGATAGAATTTGTAGGTATATTTGAGTCCAACGTGAGAACCTTAAATAGGTATCTAAGAAACAAAAAGGATTATTATCCAACAAAAGCATTTGTTCTTTGTATTAACAGTACTTTCCTGATGACCTCAATTCATTGATGGTATATCATCTAAGAACACAAATTGATTAGACCGATTAGAAGATAAGATGAGGCCACGGGGGTTAAAATAGAGGTCACAGTTAGACCTCTGTCAAGAATATCAGTTTCACAACTCTTTTGTTACTGCATTTCTCCACACAGAAACTCATTTTCAACTTAATAAAAGGACTGTTAGTCTTTCCTGGAATAATCGACAATGTCAAGAGTGTCTTCTCATTGCGAACAGGTAGTTAATTGAAGCAGCAGTGCGTATACCCAAGGCCAATTCCAAGAGGCTTTGAATATGAATGGCCTTCTGCATCTATTGCAGCATTGTTGACATACCATAGTTCAGCTACAGGGAAGCAAGCTTCTGAATATTGATACCTTCTGGCATCTATTTCAGTATTGTTGACTCTGTTAATAGGATCTGCACGAACTGTTGCCTCTTCGGTTCTTTAATTACATACCTTTTTTATTGGGTCACATGGCTTTTGAGCCCACCCTAGATGTTATAAAAGTGTGGGTTTAAGATGGGATATATTTGACCCTGTTACCAGCTGCAATTGCGTCTGAACTTAAAGGTAAGCTTGTCTTCATGTACTTTAGAACATTTTGGACCTTAATTCAAATGCAAAGCTGAACAGTTTTTGTTAAAATCTGTTGTTTTAAAAATGAGCAAAGTGACTTGGCTACTGAACTGAAAGTTTGCCTTTCCTTATTTTATGAATTCAGAACAGACCTATGTTGTTGTTTCTCATTTCTATGGAGAGCTGAAAGAAACTCGAAAAACTCATATAGTTTAATGCAATGGAATCAGAAGATAACAGATGGCACATTGCATGCTGATCTCCAGAAATGACAGGAGTGCAAAACCCTTTTCACACTTAGCGTGTTGTACCAAGCTGTGGGCATCCCAGTCCTTGCAGATACCATCACATCGCCTTCATGCCAGACATAAAAGTGTACAAGAAAAGCAAGGAAAGACTGAATCAGCTTTGTTGGAACACCTTAGAAAATTAAACAATTTTAGGAAAACGGTATTAATTTTAATTGTGATCATATATCTCTCACGTTAAAGTTCCACATGCAGGTCTAACAATGTTCAGCTCTGCAAAAGTATCTTGAGAACATTAAAAATGAACGCACTTTAAAAGTTAATTTTAATTGATCTGAAAATAGATACATCATATATGTGGAGCATTAGACATGTTTATGTGAGGGTATGGCATATAAATAGATACTTGAAATGATTATGCTGAGACACCAATCTTCTCAGTAATGTTTGTGTTAGCCTTCCCAGGGGAATTAAAAATCTAGTTCATCCACCATATAGAGAGTAGCAGGCTGTTGATTGTATATCGTGTAGGATGTTACACCCCCCAGACATCTCTGTCTGAAATCCCAAAAAAACACAAATTAAGCAGTAGATTTGCAACTTGAATATAATTAATTATAGATTGAATTTATCTCCGAGCTGTCTTCAAGACATTTTCTTTGACGAAGGACTTACTCTCTTTTCTTGTAGACATGTTTATACAACTCTTAATGTATCAAGTTTTTACTATTAGTGAGCTTTTATTATTATTTGTTATATACTGTATACAGTAGGTGTACTATAGTACACCTTCAATGGGTTATACATTAGTGTTTCAGATCAAATGCAAAGATTACATGGCTGCTTTCCCCCAAAATGTACATACTGTATGGTACAAAGAAAGTGAATTCCAGAATAGGAGCTACTCACAAAATGAAAACTAAACCACATCACAACACACAGGAGGATAAAGAAAAGAGATGCAATTGTTTTGTCTGATTGGGGTTACCAAGGTGGAGTGGCTGTTAAGGCTCTGGATCACAGGATCATTACTCACAGTCCTGGCTCAAACAAATGGATACTCTTCAGCTCCTCATTTTATGTGACCTTTTGTCATCTATTAGCCTATCAGGTTAGATAAGGCATTAAACATTAACTTTGGGTTTCATCTCCCAGAAAGAAACCAGAACATACAGTACCTTTTCTGTTCTCTGACAGCCATCAGAAAAAGCTGTTGATGAGAGAAATGACCTCAAGGTTCTATGCCACAGTAAATTAATAAAAGATTTTATTTGGCTTTATCTTAATGAGGAACAATATTTTTAAAACTTTATGTTTCAAGCTGCAATCGACAAATACATGAATAGCAAAGCACTGTTCTTTTGTGTTGGAAGGTGATGTTTTTTTTCCGTACAATGAAGTAATGATGTTTAAGTTAATTTGACATAAAGTGAAATTTAAAAAGTAGGGAGTAAAGCAATAGGATTATGAATAAGGGAAAACATGCATTGAGATTCAGCCAGGAATTGAACCCTGTGCAACTTTTTTCTTAAGTAAAAAGTTTAGGAGCAAAGTCACATTATATTGTAATGACTGGTTGGAAAAACAGCATTTGGTATACAGTATAGACAGAGACACTGCAGACAGAAAATCACTTGTTTCAGGATGATTCTCAGAAAGCTACTTTTTCAACTGTTTAGAAAGTAATGTGTCAGTTGAAGAAGATGTAAAAGGACATTTATCCAAAATGTTCTAACAGTGATTTTTTAAATCATTTTATCCTTGTGTAGAAACACAGAAACTTGCCTTTCTTTTTGTCATTTATTTGTACTACAGTATACACTGCAGTTCAACCTAGTCCAAATCTGTACATGTCACAGGCAGTATTTTGTAAATAATGAAATGTGTGCTTCAGACATATTTATCAAGCCATCTTGAGTGTAATAACAATGACTGTTGATATTGCAACAAACAAAGTTTACACGGAGGTTTATACAGTACCTCTTTTCTAAGAGGTTTTTAAGAGACTTGAAAGCATAACATTTGAATCCTCCTTAATTATCAACAAAAATACAAAAAAGCATACTGACATGACTAATTCAATATAAACTCTAGCCGTGTAAGGCACTGGTTATACTTGCAATGTCTTAATTATGATGTTTTTTTCTGTGTTGATATTTGATATTTTTATTGCTTCTAGAAAAATGAATTTAACACTGTTGATAACTTTGTCAGTTGCCCTTCAATACGGTAAGTTCTCAGAATTTATTTATTTTCCAATCTAATTAATTTACATTTTTCTTTTATAATATACTTGCTCTTTTATACTAATCTTATTTTGTACAGTATATCACTTTTCACAGTACATAATCTTAAGACACTGTACAATAAAATAGTTAAACAAAAGTGACAGCTACTGTATATGCAGTTTAAAACAATGAATGAAATAAAACCATTTTACTGGCTCCACACATGTGAATACAATATTTGTAGTAAAATAAATATTATTTTCAAGTAAATATATACACATATATATGAGGGAATATTAGTTATTTATCCAGGCCTATAAAACTAATATTTTCCTCTACTTCCCTTTTCAGTTTCTGCAAGCAATTCCTCTTCACATCCCAAAGTAGAAATTTTGCAGACTGCACAATCACTAATTGGTAAGAACACATTTTAAAATTATGCTTTGATATGAGAGTATCCTGCAGAGGTTTGTATAATGTTCAATAATTTGATATTAACTCATTGCTGTAAAAATAAAAATGTCTATAACAAAATAATTCTCTGAGTTACATCTCACAACTTTCAAATGAAAATGAGATAGTGTAACACAATCTATTTCACATTTCTTTGAAACAGACCTCATCCTGTATATCTGAATCCCTCTAAATTAAAAAGGTTATGCAGTATACTGACCATACCATCTGAGATATTTAATCCTAAAGCAAAGAATAAGCCTGGAGACTCCTACATGAATTCTGAATTAACAAAGTAACAATATCAAAATATCCTTCAAACTTTTAAAAACAGGTTCATGGGCAGTTTGACTGATTTTAGTAGGAATATCAGTCCTATCCTATGGTTCAAGGTGAGGAAAGCTTATAAGATAGCAACATTAGCACTTTGTAGACTGATCTCAGAAGCACAGCAAATGTATGACCTGGAATATCACCCAGGTGGGGCAGATCTTCAGTGGAGGATGATCTTGCAGAACTTTACATTAACCAAAATATACAATGAATACATGAGAGAGAGAGTGAAGAAAGTGAACAAGGCAGGATTAATATGTAATCATGAAAGGCAACAATTTAAAACATTTTTCTATAAATATTCTGAACCATTGTACAGATAACGTACATCCAAAGATATCTGAAATGCTAAGTTAATCAATTAAGCAAATAATTATATAGGACTATATAATAATAAAAGATGAATGAAACACTTTGACTGGATCCTGTTTTTTTATTAAAACATTCAAGAAAAGCAGTAAAATTAACTGCAATAGAAGATGATGATAGAATACTTTTTATAAATTTAAAAAACAAAATGCCAATAATTGATGGAAAGGAAAGTCAAGTGTATTATAGGAATGAAAAATCTTTCTACCCATTGTAAGTAAAGAAACAAAAGTGTTATTCACAGCCTGTTAAAAGAAGTCTTCCATCAGTCACCTATGGTGGAGGTAATATTTATTGACAGGAAAATATACTTTAGCACTCATCCATAAAAAAACAAGTAATTACAGACCAATAAGTCTTCTGTTAGATTTACAATTATGGAAACAATAATTACATTTAAATTAGCGGCACATCTGTATAAAAAGAGGATCCTGATAGATATTGGATTTAGACGAGGTACTGTAGGTCTTGCTTAAAGTAATGTTTGAAGAAAAGCAATGGATAAAAACAGAAAATCTATCCATCCACTTTCTAGCCACTTTATTCAATACAGCATCATGGGGAAGGAAGGAACAGGCTAAAGGCAGGATTCACTCTGGATGGGACACCATTCCATTATAGGCCACACACAGAGATAAACACACACACGTTCACACTTTGCCAATTTTCCCAGAAGCCAATCAATCCAACCAGTATGTCTTTGGACTGTAGGAAAAAAACAGAGTGCTGGGAGGAAAAAAAAAACAGAACATAGGATTTAGATAATTTAGATGCTCTGAAGGCTCAGTGCTCCTCATAAAATATTAATTCTGAAATTGCAGCAGTAGAAATTCAAGGAAATGCATGCTTTTGAATTGAGAAATGGACAAGGGATAGAAAGCTGTAAGGATAATGGTTGAATGCTTGTTGCTATTGGAGACCTAAAGCAAACTTTACATCTAAGTAAAAACAAATTATAGATATAAAATGGGCAACGAAAAAATAGGAAACAGAAAGTGCCAAGGTTTGTAAGAGTCTAACTAGCTACTGTACTCAGGCATACGTTTGAAGGCACATACCACCCCTTCTCTCAAGAAATGACTGGAAGAACTCCATTGATCAATTAACTACTAAAATCCAAAACATCTAGATGGGCCAAACTGCCATATCTCTTATATTCTTACACCCTAAGCACAGCAATACGATAAAATACATTTGTTCTAATGTTATGAACATGATGAGGACAGGCTGCACTACTATGATATAAGACAGCCATGTCTCCCTCCCCGGAAAACATTTTCTTAGAATGATTACCAATGTGAATTTCTCCTGAGTCAATGCTCGTGGCTTAAAAGGGGCCTTTGTATCTGTCCTTCTTCCCAAAGACTGCCTCGGTGTCCGCTTCACCTGGCTTCAGATGCTGCTCGACAACTTCCCGGCCCTTTTTAATTTCATGCAGAAACTGAAGTGCACGACGAAGCTGTGCCCCAGAGATTTGGAAGATTATGGCTGTTCATGTAGATACGAAGAGGAAGACAGGCCTATTGATGACATAGACAGGTGAGATTAACATGAGAGGACAGTCGGGGCTCATGGTACAGTACATGTTTGAAAATTATAGGTTTGATTTTGTGTTAAGAATGTACCACGGGCCCTGTACCGCAGTCGTATATAAATATATACTGTATATAAAAGGGTTACAGTATATTCTATAAAAGATACACAGTTATGTCAGCTTGGTGAAATATACTGTATAAGTAACTGCATTTAGGATTTCCTAAAAATGCATCTTAACAGACTATTGGAAATGACTGGATCCCAAATAAATGTAAGTGGATTTTATTGTTTGTATGAGACCGGTTTACATTAATTTATGAACATTATTTTAATACTGTTTAATAAAGAGTACATTTCTGAGCTATATCATTGAACCCACTGCAACATGATTTTTTTTGCATGTAATCAGAATAAGATTTAATTTGATTTCCATAGATATAATTGGCACAGAATGTTCTGAACTGCTCTTGTTTACATACCTAACAGCATGTTATCGCTCATTTTCACTTTGGCTGCTATTTTTCTTATTCCAAAGCTGTTGCTCTCAGCACCGTAGGTGTTACAAAGCGGCAGCTGAAAAGGACTGTAAACTACAGCCTGGAAGAATTTTACTAAACACCACCTGCCCAGCTGGAAACATCACTTGTGGTAAATAAAAGTTTTAGTTTTGTGGTTTAGGAAGTACAACGCAATTAAGTGTTAATTAATGCCAGCACCTACAGTATATAACCTTGCAACTCACAACTGGCAACCCACTGAAGCTCAGCAGGAGTGAGCCTGGTCAGTACCTGGATGGGAGACCTCCTGGAAAAAACTAAGGTTATTGCTGAAAGAGGTGTTAATGGCCCCAATAGGTGTGCTTACCCTGCAGTCTGTGAGGGTCCTAATGCCCCAGTATAGTGATGAGGACACTAAACTGTAAAAAGGCGTTGTCCTTTGGATGTAATGTAAAACTGGGGTCCTAACTGTCCATGGTCATTAAAAATCCCAGGGCATTGCTCAAAAAGAGTAGGGTTATTACCCTGGTGTCCTGGCCAAATTCTCTCCTGGCCTTTATCAATCATGGTCTCCTAATAGTCCCTATCTATGAATTGGCTTCTTCACTCTGTTCACCTCCACACTGATAACTGGTGTGTGGTGAGCGTTCTGGCGCACTATGGCTGCTGTACCATCATCCAGGTGGGTGTTGCGCATTGGTGGTGGTGGAGGGGATCCCCATTACCTGTAAAACTCTTTGAGTGGAGTGTCCAGTAAAGCGCTACAGTATAGAAGTGTAAGGAATTATTATTATAAGTGATCCTAAGGACAGGAGTGTTTAAGCCAATAATATTCTCTACTTCTTTAAAAAATAGTTTTAATCCTACAAAAGTATGTTCAGCAACTGTAAGCAAGAAATCAGGCTATGTGTCATACTGTATATCATTTATAGACATATTCAAACCCATAAGGTTATCTGAATAAATCTGCTTCGACTGATGAAAAGTACAAATAATAACAGTTCTTACTTCTCTTCTTTTTATGTACAATTGGTACGATACAGCAGCCTCTACACTTAATCATGGCTCTTGCAAACCAGCAAATTGTACAACATAGACATACTGTACATGTATTAAAGTTGTGCTATATCTAAAATTCAAGCCAGAAATGGACAGATGTTTTTTCTTTCTTCTGCTTTGAAACAGATGCCTCTGATTTCTGTGAGGAATTCTTCTGCCTCTGTGACAAAGCTGTCATTGAATGCATAGCTCACTCACAATACAATTCCTCACTGAGACACTTGGACAGCTCCTCTTGTCCAGTGACATCAACAGGTAACTTTAAAGGTGTTTTTGAAGGCCAAGATCTTATGAAAGCATATACAACTAATTTATTTAAAGTGAACAATTGTATAAAACTAATCTTATGCTGTACTTCAAATGCACTTCAAATGTGCGGCTTATTAAAGCTGAATAAAAAACTAACTCCTGGGGATTTTGTAGTTTGAAACCCCAGCAGGAAATGATTTTGGCTTCGTACAAGAGACTTGAACGGGCCATGGCATTATGAACTGAAACCATAAGTCAATTAATAACTCATTTGATGTTATCAGGAATCTAGCATTCTGTGTGTTTCAGAATTTCCTGATACCATTGCTGTAACCATTGTGGCCCTAACTGAAGCTGGTAGGAAATGCTTTTTCACTCTCTTTGAATTGTGGGGGACTGTTCTATTCTTTTTTGTCTTTACTATATTAATCCTGTCTTGAGGTCTACCTTTTCTCCTATGACCCATCTCCATGAAGGCTGCCATAATAATGACCTCACTTGGAATGGTCCTGTCACTGATAAATATTGATGTTTTAGTATGGCTGACTTAATGATGAATTCGTTTAACCTGAGTTAACTATTAGTACTGTACCACTTCTTTGATCATCTGTACCTTCTGCAATGCTTACTTGCTTCAAGGCCCAGTTGACAGCTGTCATAACATTCAGAAAATACTCATTGTTCTCTGCAGAATATAGTAGGAAGTGTAAAAATATAGCTAATCTACACTAGTTAAAGCTGTGATAATATTTTACTATTTAAACTCTTTCATTGGCAGTTCCAGAGACTGGTGATACAGAACCAACTGATATTTCCATAGAGGTGACAGAGCCTGGGAAAAACGTAACCATGCAATCACCAGCTGTTTCTTTGGAGTTGAGCACTGAGAGTAAGATCTGCCTGATAACAAAATTACTGTAATTATTAGGTATAGCGGTAAATCACTTTAACTGTCTAAATGTTTCAACGCGATTATACAGTAACAATCTGGAATGTTCGCACGGAACAGAAGAGTTGTAACACACTGGTAATGGGATATGAATTATGGTATGCTTTAAATATATGCTAAATTTATTTTCTGTATTTTATAGTGCAGTATTTTTTTTACATAGTACATGCAGAAAGATAACTTTGTGTCTATAGGACAGTGGCATTCAAATAATATGCAGGGAAACATTAACAGAAGAAGCTAAAAACTAGGCTACTACTGTAGGTCATTATTTCTAACTAGGATTTTGGGAACAAACAACGTGCAGCAGGTTTCTTTTAGAGGCTAGATTTAGTTTTCTGTATGTACAAATCATTATACAGTATGTCATGTGTTAATATTGTGGGTTTCTCACAGTTCATGAACCAACTATAACAAGTAAAGAGCCTTCTGCAAAACCAACATTTACTCCAACAACACCACCAAGTCCGATCTCCATGCAAACTGCGAAGGGCAGTAGCAAACTTACAACAAAGGAAACGGACAGTTCACAGGAATCTGAAACAGAAGGTAATGGAATTGATGAAAAAACAATAGCTATTTAATAGCAATTAATTAAATTAATTTAAAATCAAAAGGGGGAAAACTGTAGCCACTGCATACAAACAGTCATTCAAATTATATAATGTTAAACCAATTATGTTTTGATACTATGTTTAAAATAAAACTATGTTTTGTTACCTTATGAAACATACAGTTTAATGAAAACATTTTTATTGCTCAAATTTGGGAGTTTTTCAATAATATAATGTTCATTGCTGTACAAATGTAAAAAAAACATGCTTTTTTGGTCTATGAATGTCTAACAAGTACATTTCTGAAATTACTATTAATATGGTGTATTACTAATTTTAGACGCATACTGTCAGTGAATGTAACATTTTACTACATGGAACTTAACATTGATTAATCACTTCTTAGGGTTGGATTCACCCATGTCAAAAGCTGTACCATTTTTTACCTCATTTCTGGAAGCAGCAGGCCTAATTGATTTACCACTGGAGCCTGACGTTGAAGGTGAAAACTTATGTTCTCAGCTTCTATTTGCCTGCTTCTGCATTAAAACTACATTCCTTGTGCTCAGTGATCCTCAGTTCAACTCCTTAAGGGCCAAGGTCCAGCAGATTTTATAGTGCTTCTTAAATATCTTTCCAATTCAGAAGTGGTGAGAAGGGGGTAAACTGGTTTAGTAAAGGAGACATTTAATGACTTTAGATAATTCAGTGCCAAAGTGGAAAGAGGCATAGAGATTCATTTTCTATGGGGCTTTGCTTCATTTGCAAAACAATCTTATCAGGACAGAAAGGAACTAATATTGGTGTTTTAAAATACGCTATCACTATCAGCCTCATTGTTAACATAGATTCTCGACATGTAAATAATAGCAGATAGAATGACCTCTTCTATTCCTGAAGAGAAGAATTTGATATGTTTCTACTTGACAAAGTCTCATTTTTTGTTACTTCTGTTCATGTAAATCTGGGCTATATTGCATGTCTGGTATTGATACTTGTACTTCTTAAGCAGTTTCAGACAATTCAAGGAATTAGCACAGTATTTCTATTTTTTCTATTTCACAGAGTAAAAGAAATGTTAAGTCTTAAATTTCATGGAGTTTGACCATACACAAGAAAGAAACAGAAAGAAACAGAAAGAAACAAAAAAATGTCACTCACTTTCTTCATTTCTGGAACAGTATTCAATTTTGTTTCATCAATTAAATGAGCCAACATTACAGTATATTATAGCATCATGTTCTGCATTCTGTTGATTTAAGAAATCACCACAATATCATTACATTTCAATTTCTTTCTTCCCAGAATGCGGCGGTCACTCCTTTAACCAGTATAGCTCCAGTGGCAGGATTCGCCAGGAGATGCCCATTCTGGGTGAGATCCTCCATTGCCTGACTGGGCGGTGTCCACATGAGTATGAGATGTATGGCTGTTATTGTGGACAGGAAGGAAGAGGTCGACCCATGGATGAACTTGACAGGTAAAAGGTGCCAATGATAAACACTTTAGTTCATACAGTGTATCTCTAGTTTAGAAGAGCTGAAACAGGGACAGGACTCCCTTATACTCAGAAAAACCGAACACTGCAGAACGCATGTAGGCCAGGTGGGGATTGAGTCTCGGTTTCTGCGGCTTCTATGCCTCAGGAGGGTTTATTATGTTCATGTTGTGAAATATCATGAGTGGAAATGTACAACTGTGGAATAGAAACATGAGATTAAAATGAAAGAATAAGTGAGGTATGTTTTATGATTGCCTGAAACCTGTAAAATCCTAACCTGTAAAATCAAACCAAATTTGACATGTTAGAAGGTAAACATCTTAGGGTCCTAGGGCTGTTCTGTGACTTCTAGTGGTAGGAATATAAAGGTGGATTATTGCACAGCCACTGTCATTTTTAAAGTTTGGCAGCAAAAATCTTTTCTATAGTACGACTTAAAGGGTCTATAAAATTTCTCTTCATCTTGACTTTTCCTTTCTTTGATGAAGGTTGTGCAAAGAGTTGAGCTTTAATGAATAGAAAGAAAATATACTTCCTCATATCAAACGTAATTGATTTGAAATTAAAAGGTTTATTCAGTGAAATCATTGAAGTAAACATTTTTAATTTCTCACTTTATAAGTTAACTGAAGAACTACAGTATACTATGTGCTAGTCATAAAAATATCTGTTATACTGTAATACTCCAATAATCCCCATTTTATTACATGCTACCTATGAAAATGTACTGTATGACTTCATGTTTTCATAACGCACATCTGATTAAAAAACCCATTAAGTACCAATAAGATGAACACATCATAAGATTTATTATTGTAATGTCATTTGCTTAGACATTATACCAAATGTTCTGAAAAACAGTCAAATTCAACACATCTAATACACAAATTCTGTGTCATACTGAAACTACATTCTTTTAATTTAACTTTATACTCCATGCATGTACAGTACACATGCCAGCAGTGGGTCAAAGCATTGAGAAAGAGAACTAGTGTACTGTACCCTTCCTGTAATTGTAGGTGCTGCTTCTTCCACCAGTGTTGTCTGGAACAAATCAGGATGTTTGGCTGTCGGGCAGAACGCAAGCTTAACATCCAAGTCAGCTGTGACAATGGGCAACCTGCATGTAAGCATTTAGAGTGATAAGAATTTATCACAGAAGTTTAGCTATGTTGGTGGTGAAAATTACGTGCTGTATGTGTTACGCAAACACTAACCCTTTATGAAACTCCTATTTTGTAGTCTGGAATCTCCAATTGTTTTCATTTTCATTACTTTCCCACTCCCATATTTTATACTGCCTGCTCAATCTAAGAGCCCTTGAAAGCACTGACGGAATGAAGACAGTGCATACTTTCTTCCAAAAGATGGAGAGTCAGCATTGGGTGCAAAAGTGACACTACAAATTAACAGGTGCTACAACAGGTACTACAAATTAACAGAGGTCACTGCTACAAAGCAAAGACAACGACTCTGTTGGATTTTATTCCTCCCAGATGTTTGCCACCACTCGTTGGATGAACTAATGACAGCCCAGACTCATTCCAGTAAGGAATGGATACTTCACCTTCTCCAAATGAGACATTTTTCTTATAGAGTCTCTTGGCAAAACATGGCACAACACAAGCTGTGCCAGGCATAATTACAGTGTTCTACCAGGCAGAAGGCCAATCTGCTACTAAAAATGTTGATAATTTCTGCTCCTTTTGGCTGTGCACACAACATCTGTTCTTGATAGAATATGATGTGTGGAACAACAATTTTCACGCTGACATGATAGTTTTGATACACTGTTCGTACAAAAATAAAATCTCTCGTCTTTCATTGTCTTCTCCTAGGTGCCGGTGCCAACATGTGTGACAAGCTCCAGTGCATGTGTGACAAAGCCAGTGCAGAGTGCATGGCGGGGGCCCATTTCAACGAAACGGTGGCCGTCTTGCACAAGCAGAGATGCCGTGGCATGAGAGCACCCTGCAGGCGCCGGCCATTGGGGAGTCGGCCCTTGGCCCCAAAGTCAGACGACTCCAGCGAGGAAGTACTGCAGGACAGTGGCGGACGCCAGCCAGCACCGGGAATGTGGAGGCAGTCTAGCTCGCGCCTTGTGAGGCCTCTAAATGTTGGCACCACACCTGCAGCCCAGACCACACGGATGACCACAGAGGTGGGCCAGGGAGTGGAGGAACCCGAAGAGAAGACTGACGAACATGTCCAGGCTGAGCTGGAAAAACAAACCACAGCAGCTGCCTGAAATTCTAAACAGAATGGCCACTTTAAGCCCCTTTTATAGGCCACCGTAGGCTTCGTCGTCACCGGCACTGTAGTAACAAACATACCACACCTTGTGGTAAACAAACTGTCAATGGATTCAAGTAAAGTAAAACGTCTAAAAAAAGTTTTTTTTTTAGAAATGCTGCCCTAATTTTATATATATATAAATTTAGTATATGTTTCCAGGAAATGTAAATCTAATCATTAAATGTAACTTTAAAGTTTTAATGTAGTAATTATGAAAAAATAACGATATATTCCTGTAGATCATAAACATAATTGTGCTGGACAAGAAAATGACTTAAGGAAAACTGTTCAGGGATACCTTCACTCAGCACAGAGCTCGTCAATGAACATCTTTAGCAAACACAGAAAACCGCAGCTGACACTGCTAAATCCTTCTTCATCAAAGACTTGTGCATTTGAAAGTGGGAATTCTGAATCAAATAATTTTTTAAATTTTGGTAAATTCCCATTTGAACCTATACCGTCTGCTTGTGTTAGACATTTGATACATAAGCAGCTGCCCTAAACCTCCAGAATGAATATCAAGGGCATGCTTTCCCATAAGAAAAACGGTGAGCTGGAGGAATCGGATGAACAAGATGTACCTTACACTACTAGGAACAAGAGAACCCGCTCAGCCAACACATTACTCAGTACAGGTTCTCTTGCAAGGTTGTCCTTCTCATGTGTGAGCAACAAAGAGGAGCTTGTTTGCTTTTGTGTAGCTACAGCATTAAAAAGAATAGCTTACCAAAAGAGTTACACAATTTCTCTCTGCTTAGGAAAAGAAGGGTTTGTTGAAACCTCTTGATGCCAGTTTACATACTGTAAGTGGCACTACTCAAAAGTTAAAAAAAACAGGATTTTGGGGTACAGAAGAATTTTTGTTTTTGTTTTGCATATACTGTTTATAAAGGTGTAGTGAAAATATGAATAAGCAGTACCAATTTATTGAACAAACTACTTTTACATACTATACAGTACCTACTGACAGACCAAACTCAGAAAATTGTTCAATTTTTTTCCCCACATAACAGCCTGTTGCTCCAAAATCAGTACACACGTACACATTGCTTTTTCACCATTATAAAACTTTAATATGCTTTTTAAAATTTTCTTACAATATGCTCCATCTTACACACAACTGAAAAAACACAGACTATTTGACACAGTGGCTTTGCTTACAATCCTAATAATTTCAAAATATGCAAAGCAGTAACATTCCAGTGACTATCAATGCCACAAACACATTTAAAAAATAAGTGTCAAGACTAAATGTATTCAATAAAAATATTCTCTGAAATTTATACCACATGTAAGAATAACCCACTTTCTAAAACAGCACTACAAGTACAAGTATTAATATTGCATGAAAAGCACCCATTGCCTGGTACAGAAATGCTCTGTGAGAAGCTGTGATTATGTTTTAAACTAGATATTCTTTCAATGTGAACACCTCTCCCTTCAAGGAAAATCAGCACCACTGATAATCTGTTTTGGTGGATGCAATACTGTTTCTAACTCTATTATAATCAGAAAAACAAAAAGTACAGAGGCGAGTTTCAAAGGGTTAATATTGCACAAAAGTGGGCGAGGACAAATGGACTAAAAAAAATGTTGAAAATGTTGGAACAGATATGCTCCAGTCCCGGAAAGCCGATGCATCTGCAGTTTTTTAATCCAAGAGAATTATTAATTATATAAATCAGGTAATTATTTTATTCATTATAAGATTAATTTGACCAGTATACTGTATTGCCTCAGCTCTTGCTTCAGCTATGAAAAGACCTAGGAACCCTGTAGACATCTCTCGCCTGGTTTTCAATGTGACTGTTTTATCTTGTACTTGCTTGAGTAAATTCAACTAAATTGCCCATTTAGATGAACATCGTCATTTTGCCTGTCAGCAAATAATTATTTACAAGAAGAACATACTGTAATTTAAGGTCAATAATGCCAGGAAGTGGTGTGCTTAAATTCTTTGTATTTTTTAAGTGAGATTTGAATACAGATATTACAAGCTTGTGAAGAACATTATGTGATTCTTTCACTAGAAGAAAACACTTATTTCTATTGTGTATGTTTTTTTTAATAATTTGTATCTCTTTGTGAGACTTATTTTCATTTTAGTTTGTTTTTGAAGCAATGCTAGTTAAAATAACATGATTCCATGTCTTAATAACCACAGCATGTTATAAAATGCTATGAGTCCATTAATAAAACTGAGAAAGCTGCCAATAAAATGTAACTCTACACCTGTTATTATGAATGCTCATTTTCAGATCACCGTCACACAACACATGCGACTTTTGCAATGAAATGAAAAAATCAGACAACTTGGCCCAGGCCCATGACAGGTCCACTGCCTTCATTTTTCATTCAGATCAATTTATGAACCTTCCTGCCTTGTTCATAAAACAAACAACTCTTTGTGGTTCGACTGTACCAGGCATAAGGGTGTGAATGTGTAGAACCCACAATACATTCTTAATCTAAAATTTGTTGATTTTACCAAAGTCTACCAACATCTCTCATTATTACAAAATAGAGAATACACTACTCATTCTTGAACGATTGCACATGTCTTTTTTGCGAGTATTTCATCTTACCTACTGTACTTAATAAATTAACAATCATCTGCTGCTTTGGTACAGTACATGAAGAAATGGATATTTGTAAGAAATGGGAAGAAGGCTGCTGGAAGAGAAGAGTAATACAGACCCTAGAACTGCGACGGACATTTTTACACACTAGACTTCTGTTACCTGCACATCCCATATCTCTGTTTACAATTTTGTAATAAAAATGAAAAATTATTAAAGCTTGAATATCTGGAGGCAATCACACAATTGCTGCTTTTGTAAAGTGAATGTAACCATAATTAAAGCTTAAGAAAACAGTCCATGCATCAGAAATGACAAGTGTTCCATACACCTGCCAAAAACACTGCCCAAGAAATCTTGGTGGTTCACAAGTTGGAAGACCTGAACAGTAATACTCTTATAGAACTGGTATGCAAGTCATCAGCACAGGCCCCACAAGGAGTCCACAATTCTCTTACATAACATGTAAACATTCCTCATTTTTTCTAAGTGCATAACATGTGCATGTGGAAGACAGAGCATATATAAACATTTCATTTTAAAGTGAATACAGTGGCCGACTTCAAGGGCATGATATTTCCCTTGATATTACCTCTATGCAGAACCTTCAGTTATGTCCATGTAAAGTAGCATTTGGGCCTGTTCATTTAACTTATAAAATGAGTTCATTTAACTATAAAAAGGGATAGCAAAACAGAGCATAAACATTTATCTTAGTTGAAAGAGCAGGACAGTTTCCAAAAATCTAAAGCATTTCATAACTCCATATACTGTATGGTCCATATACTGTATAACTGTAACCCAAACAGGTTCATTATTTCTGTTTCACCAACATCATCAAAAACATGTTGTCCGAGAAATAAGTCTTAATCTTCTCAGTTATTTTTAAGAGCATATCAAAGTACAATAATGGAAAATAAATTTCCACCTAACACAACATGTCTTGGCATAACTGTCCATCTCAAGGCATCATTTCAAAATGTAATTGTACAAAGAAAGCCTCGTGTTTAGTGTTTTTTGTAATAAATTACATATCTTCAATGTAGTGTGAATATTTGGATTATATTTACTATTTTTCAGGAAAAAAGCTTTTTCTGGAATGTTTCATTGCTGAAGGTGAAATTTTATTTAACAGCAGAGCAGAGATCTGTATCTTGCTACGGAGAAAGTACTCAAATCAGAAATACAGTGTAATTGTACTGCAGAATTCAGTTAAAGTCTGCTTTGTTCCAAAAAGGACATGTAAATTAATATGCTTCAACTGTAGTTTTTTCTCTTTTATTTCTTATTCTTAACATTTTCAAGTCAAAGGTCTGAGAACACGAAATTACAAATGCAGACATAATGCAAAAAATGAATTCCAAATAAGAATTGATGCAAGTTTTGTAAAAAAAAAGAAAATATCATGCTGCAAACATTTATGGAAACAAGAACAATTCTGTTTTTTTAAATAAATTTGAGAATCACCACAATTCATTAATACACAGCTGATGCAAACGCTCTTCCATGTACTTATTTGCTCTGTGTCTGCATTAATCATCCAGCAGCCTCCTTATCCCAGCGTGTCTCCACAATTAACACAAAAATAATTACATGTCAGTACACTAACCCTGGAAAGCACAATAAAACAGAAGACTGCATTGCGATTGCCACAGCATAAGTAAACATACACTTTCAAATCAGAAAAACCATATACCATCTCTGCTTCATTTCCAATATAACATTTCAACACAGTAATGGGAGCAGTGTTTCTGGCGCTCAACCACTGTCTCAAGACAATACTTAAAACAATGCCACATCCAGTGCTTTCAATGACAACATACCGTATGATGACTAAAATAAGTGATTTTACACAACGGAATAATACATAATACTATCAGCTGAAATCGACGGCTCAATGCCATCCTGCAATCAAAACGAAACATTTATGATTGCTTTTTTTTTAATTACATTTAACAGTTTGATTACTTAAAAGCAGGAAGGATAATGATACACAATACATAGCATTTTATTGCAAGCGATTAGTCCACTGACCAATGTCGTGCTGTTTCTGAAGCAGACAAATCTTTGTTTTTAACCTGAAAATAACAAGGAAATCATATTGCACTGTTTTCAGGAAGCCTATTTCAGAACCTTTAGATTTGGACTTAATTCTTTAAAAATTGAAAAATTAAAATTTGTTTTTAAATGATTAAACTAATTTACAGCAGATATCTTAGAACACTATACTATATAAGCAATTTCTTAGATACACATTTTATCGGTTAATACATATACAATACAGCCAAATTGCCATACAAATTAAATTGCCCATGTAATTATTCACAGCTCTAAGGACAATTTGAATATGTTAAAGTACATTCTATAGCTTCAACTCTTTAAGAGAGTCAGATTCAGTTCTGAATAGACTTTACAAGTGACCAAGCTTTAATGGGATGACATGAATTGTATAATGTTTTAGGTATTTCACTGGGTATCTTATTATTATATTGTTATTATTCTATTTTAATAATAGTAAATTCTAGTTTTAATAGGTTTAATGTTGAAAACACAAATGCTCTCTGTCCACATTCAACAAGGATAGACTTGGGAATCATTTATCTTGTTCAGTGAATTCCATGGCAACCTTGCATTCCAGTTCAAGTAACATATTAAAAGATAATATTTCTAAGGTCTCTAAAATGTGCTTAATTTATATATATTTTAATGACCGTGATGTGCACTTTTAATTTATGATTAAAAGGATCCATTTAAAATACAAATTAACATTACTTATTGAATGTGGACTTATTTCAGGTACCGCACCCTTACTATTAGATTTTTGTCAATATGTTTTTATTATTTCTTCATATGAATCTAAAATTTAAAATAAAAGTTCAAGCTGGGTTTCTATTGGCACAAAGTTTACTCACAGGATCATATATTATTTTTCAAGTATTTCCCATGCCTTATAAGTTCAAAAGTTTGGTAGAACATTTTCCAGAGACCTGTCTAAGTAAAACAACCACAACCAATATTTTAAAATCAACTTAAAATTCCAGTTCTTATTCGGTATGATCTCTTTTATTTGTGACAAGCCCTTTACAGCCCTGTCATCTGCAGTCTCCTAAGTAGGAGTGCTATATTATACAAAATAATAAATGACCTTTCATTCATGTGGACCAGGTGTCACAAACTCAATTCCTGGAGAAAATAACTAGGTTAATTGTTTAATACTCAGGTTGGAACAAAAATTACAAGACACAAGGTCTTCCAGGAACGTAGTTTGAGACCCCTAATAAAGACATGTACTATTCCATTAACTTTTTTTAAATTTAAATATTCCTACACAATATTAATTGGAAGAACTATTAATTGTATTTACTCTTATTCATGTTTACTCCTGCTTTTGTAACTTTTTGACCGTTTGAACACAACAAGGAAAAATAATATTTTCTACTGTAATACTATGAATCTTTTATGTGTACTTTTGTTAAATGTAATTTGAATTTAAAAAATGTATAACAAATTTGACAGTAAAGCATTCACAGTAAATTATTTCTTTTCACTTTCATACGACTATGAAAACATTCTAAATATGAAAAGAATATGTTGTAGCTTGGAAATCTTTCAGTTTTTTGGGGGGATAGTCCAAATTATAATCCTTAATAAAGAATAAGATCATTATAGCTTTAATTTATATTGTTTAGGGGTTTAAGTGTTGGTCATATTTTCCTTTTTCATCTTTGTTTTTTTTTGTTTATCTTTGTATCTTTTTTTTTATCTTTTTGGTTCATGGATCACTTTTTGGTCAAAATTAAGCAGCAAACCAAAGTAAAAAAAGAGTGGACCACCAAAACAATCATTTCAAGTTCCTTGTCATTTATATACTGTAGACAAACAGGGAAACTTTATGTGGTTGGGTCCAGGCACAATATTGCTTTTATTAGCTGTAAAAAGCAACAAAGTGGATATCTGAAGAGGAAGTATGGTAAAGAGTTCAATATATTTTAATCAAATTAATTATATATCACTTTAACTTGTTTAAAGGAATCTAAAATGTATTAAACTCAATTTTTGTAATGTATAAAATAGAAGAAAATTTTACCCTTTGAAAGATAATGTGAATATTCATGCCTGATCAGAGAGGAAACTGTAACAGCCCTTCACATTAAGGCTGCAACTGGCAGGTCAGCCAGCAAGATGGATTTTAGAGGAAAAAAAAAACTCATCTCTTTGCTCTAATTTTTTTAGGTGATATTTTTTGTTTCTGCACTGTTGTGATGTATAATTAAACCCATCATTAATTCTGTGTTCTTTATGATTACAACAGTCTAAATGGATCAACACCACATAACTGCTTCCTCATCATGAAGGCCCATAGCTAATAGACACAGAGATCTGGGAACTTCATCTCATACACTGGGACGGACTGGTACTGGGCATGTCCTGCTGAGACCGTAACTGCTCCCGATGGACTGGGGGGAGGTCTACAAGAACAAAAAAGAGCCTTTAAGCTAAGGGAAGAGCAAGCATTCTTACAGACAAATGTATTACTTTGCATACAACTTATCAAATCTGCAATACTCTTATATAGAAAGTACACTACAACACTTCAAAAATGTAAGGACCTGATCCTTCAGCTAGCCCCTCCTAATATGATCATCCTGATGTGGGTGTTGCTACCAGCAGTTGAGCTGAATGGTGATGAATCACAGCTGCAGTTTGCATGGCAGGTTAATAGCAATAAGTTTAATACTACTGCTACTACTAATTATTATTATTATTAAAATAATAATCAACACCAGTTAGCAGCCCCACCTGGATGATGCAATGGCAGCCACAGTGTGCACAGTATGCTCACCACAATGGGACACCGGGGTTACAACCCTGCTCCTTTTGAAGAACACCCTGTGATTTTTAATGGCCTCAGAGAGTCAGGATCTCAGTTTTATGTCTCATCCAAAGGACGGCACCTTTTTACAGTATAGTGTCCCTATGACTATACTGGGGCATTTGGACCCACACAACCCAAAGGGTGGGCGCCCCCTAATGGTCCCACTAACACCTCTTTCAGCAGCAACTTTAGCTTTCCCAGGTACAGGCCAGGACCTCACCTGCTTAGCTTCAGTGGTTGCCAGTTGTAAGTTGCAGCATGAAATTGCTGCCGGCATAATCCAAAGTTTAAAAGCTTTGACAATATCTCTAGGTGATGTACTCATCATCTTCACCCCTAAACAGATGCTGGTAATATCAATGAGAATGATTTTGCAGCAATGTGGTGCATACAGTTGGAACATGCATGCCTTTCCTGCACCCAACATCCATGTTTCTATGCATAACGTGAACATGAATGATACATTCAGCACGCTTTTTGGCTGATTTCATCCACATGGGCTGCTGACTAGTGAACAGACTTCAGATACAGTCTTCCAGCAGTCAGGACTGAGGCTCACACGATACTACACGTTAAGAGTTTTTTTTATCATTCAGCTCTGTTGCATTTCACAAGTGCCTGAGTATACATAAAAATCTAGTCTCATGGCTAATATAATGAGCATTTCTCATGTTAAGTCAGCAATTTTATAGGCTTTGGATTCCTAAAAGCTTCATATTCCCTTGACAATACACCGAGCCATCCAGTTCGTAAAAACCTTCTTTCAAGGCCTTTTATTTCGATTGCCTTACTTGCTTTTTCCTACTTGGAACACTGACCTATGACCCAGCACTAATGGAGAAGGCTGGCCTTGTTTTCAGGCATTCCATTAGCCTTAAATTAGAAGCCTGATTACAATGGGGTCTACAACGAGAAGAAGAAACCTGACTCCCACTGCTGGTCCCCTGCTGCTTATTCTACAGATGTATAATTTTACCTGAAATCATTAGAGCAGAGAGCATAAAAAGTATAGCTTTCACTAAGAGTGAATGGCACCCAACGCTGACAGTTCTTTTTTATGGTCATGCCTTTTGTACTTTCTAGTTAAAGAGAGGGACAAGAAAAATACACTTGGTTTAAAAAAAATCTAAAAAATCTAAAATCTTATAATAGAATATAAAAAATCTAAACATACATAAGCCCTAGGTTTAAGAGCTTCCATTTAATAATTTTGTCTATTTTAATATGGAGCCCCAGAAATATTCTCTAACAGCAGATTTGCAAATCTCATGAAATACAGAGGACAGACACACTGGAGTTTGTAATGCACAGTACTAAAAACAGTAATCTGAAATTAGCATCCTAAACTAATTTTTGCAAAGATAAGTATTCAACTGTTTGATTTGTTGGACAAATCAGAGTCAGTTACGCGCCGTCTCACAGATTTAGAAAAAAACAGAACATCTCCTTGCCTAAAACTAAAAAGGAACAGGATAATTTTGTAATATCGGTGCAAGATCTGCTGCTATTGTTCTTGACGAAAGGCAAACTAGTTTTGAGAGCCAATGACATTCTTGGCTCCAAAAGGAAGGTTTGTAAGTATTTCTAGTGACCACTGTACTTTTTTTGCCATGCCTACCAAAATGGGAGTGAGCCATTACAGATTTTGCTGGAATTTGTGAAGTCAGTGTCATCTGGGCTCATACTGTACCTCTGTCATCCTTTACACTTACCGGATTGTTAGCTCAAAGATTTGGGCCAGCCTATCGTGGAGCAGATTTGCCTGTAAGAATAGCAACAGAGTTTAGCTTTTAACAAAATAAATCAAATATTTATAAATTTTCTTATCTAATAAAGCTCTTCTTTCAGCTACGCAATTACTTCCTTCAGGGCACTCTTTGATACCTACAAGGCATGTTCAGTATAGTACGTGCTACAAGATTTCAATTGATCCAGAAAATGGCTTGATCACGTACTCTTTTGCAACTAGACCGTTCATAGTTTTGTTTTTACATTTATGTTTATTGTCAGTGGTGCCTGATGCAGGCATGGAGGTACACACTATGAGTATGAGGTACTTAGAACGTAGGAGGTAAAAGGAACATACTACCTACCACGTGAGTTTACTGGCTTATAATTTCATCTGTGTGTTAAATATTTATGTTTAAAATATGAAGTACACACATTCTTGCAGTGTAAAAAAGATTCATGCTAAATTATACTTCAATTTAATTCATCATTGTATTAATCTTCCACTCTGCCACTGCAGTGAACTACTGTATAATAATCATTAACACAGCAAGGCCTGTGCAGGAAGGTGAGAATTTTCTCTTGGACTTTGGAGTTAATGGCAGTCTCAAGAAATTTGCATTACATCTACCCCAGCAAAGCCTGACTACTGCTGTGAAAAGTGTAGAGAGAAAAGGAGAGAGGGAGACTTAAAATGTTCAACGTGTTACCATGGAAATAGAGGAATTAAGAGTCATCCTTCCGAACATACTGTCACGAACCTGTCCTAAGAACATACTGAAACTAACAGAGTCAATGGATTCTTTAGGAACTCTTAACCAAATGAAGGCTGGCTGCGCTCTTCATGCTTAGACAGTGACACGGTTAATCAGAGAGACCAAAAACAACCAACGACATACAGTAACAGCTGATTAAACACAGGTGAACGAGGATGAAGGACACTCTAGATTACTCCCACTCCGGCAAGGGGCCTGCTTAGGGGTGCCCACTTATACTGATGTCCGTGGGGGGGTCAGGGGGCTGGTGAAAGATGATGCGAGTCGGGCTTTTTGGCAGGGGCTGGATGCCAAAACAACTCACTAAGAGAAATACTTTTTTCCATAAAGAAGTACCTCTTGCTCGACCTCCACAAGTAACCACTTAAGCAGCCTGCCAAGCCCTAGTGACTAGACAATGGAAATGTCCAGATCTGGGTTCCTCGACCACTGTAATATTGTACGCTTGGAAGAACTTCTGTATTTCACCCATCTTTGCATCTCTGAAATACTTTCAATACGTTTGTGAACTTTTACTGCATCCTCACCTTAGATTCACAATGGGCAGCGATCTCCTCGAATGGAGCTTTTTGAAACTTCTCGATCACTTGACGTCTCTTTTCCTTCTCCTGTTCTTCCAGACCAGTGGTATCTGATGAAATGTATTATTAATTAATTATTATTTCAGGTAAAAACAGAAAGTACTCTAGGCTTGCGATGCAGAGATTTATTAACTCCATGTTAAAATAACAAAATCGATACTATTTTTTAGATTTAAAATACGGTTTAGAATCCACACTTGTAATAGCCATGGTAAAAGCCTGGACTGGAGGAAAACAGTTCCATTCTTAAAGTTAATTATGACACACAAAGCCTGTGATGTAAAAATTGGTTGATCTAATAAAGTGTAGTGTAGAGCATGCAGCCTTCAGATTCAACCCAATCAATCTAAACTAAAGTCAGTCTTGTTTGGACGTGCCTACACAGCCATTTCGGGACTGCCACCTCACACTCTCCTTTTTCAACTTACCAATAGCTTTCTTCAGCGTTTCAAAGGTTATTTCCTCCGTTTTCTGTGACTGGGTAAATAGAAATGGTAGAGAAAATGAGGAATAAAAACAAAATTCTGAGGTAGTTTAATTAAAAAATAAATTCTATTAGCTTCTAAAAATAATTATACTCTTTTTATGCATTAACATGTAACTCTGCAATTCTGTGAAATAAAGCAATTGTCTTGTTTCTGGACCAACAATAGGAGGCAAACACAGGAAGGAAGAGATTATCTACTGTACCTTCTTAAAAAAAAAAAGTTAAATGTCATAATTTCAGTGTCATCAAATGTCAAAATAATTTTCTAGTATATAATCTAGCATAAAACATTATTTATTTCTCTTAGTTTCAAACAGTTTCATATTGACATGTTTCCAGTATATATTACACTGCAGAAAATCCAAAAACAATAGAATTCCAGTTAACAGACCTATGACTTTATACTGAAGCACCAATCAAGTCACATCTGCACTACTACCATAGATTCTTGATTACAGGAGGCACATCCTGATTCTGCTACCTTCGACTGTCAGATGAATAATAATGCAACTTCATGTGAACACAATTGTCGCAGCACCCGGGTAGGCCAAAAGTCAATTATTATTCTTGCAAATCCATTGGACCCTACTGCCTTAAGAATTCTAATCAAAAAGCATGTTACAGTACCTTGTCTGGTTGATGGCTGGAAAGAATGTCAACCTGAATTGAAATGGTATCCACTATACTCTTCCTCCTGGAAAGTCGGTCTTCATCTGTTAAGAATGATAATCGTATGTACAGTATCTACGGCTATTAAAATGAATGAAGAAGGGGCCACTGCAAAACATTGTATTCTTTCTATTTTTCCATGTGGAATTAATCTATGCTTGTTTGTTGTTTGATAACATACAGTAGATTTTTAAACGAGAAACCAAGAAGTTGAGATCTGCTTATTGTCTGTTTCTGAGCTTCGTATATTGCAGTTTAATTATAACGGGCAGTCATGGGGCATTTCTTATGGCTTATGCACCTCATGCTTCATATGGAGAAGAGTGCCACCAGATATATTGTCAATTTTCAAATCTCTTAATTTATAAATTTGATTGACATCTTTTATTCATCTCAGCTGTTATAATCCCACAGGAATATACAAAATATAATGCTTCAAAATGAGAAGAAATAAAGATGCAGCCATGTGCTCTTTAAAACTGTCTCTGTTTTCAAACTTGAACATGGTCATGGCAGCAGTGTAGATGAACAAACTGGAGAACAGCAAACAATTCCACCACAGCTTCCCAGTTCCAGCATTAACTGGTCCACATCAGGAACCCTAGCAGAACAGGCTTACAATACTTCAGGCCACTACTAAAGTCAAATCTACAGCACTTCTGGTGGCTCCTGACTACATCTGGTGCAGAGTATGACTAATACAGGCCTTTGTCAATGGATGAGACAATTACTCATTACCTTTACTTGACTCAAAGAAAAGACAAAGAGGAGAAAAAATATAAATGTTAACAATGAATGTTGTTATTATTATGACAAATATTTGAAAATAACAAATTTCAGTGCTTCTTACAAACAAGATCCAAGTCACAAAAAAACAAAAAAACATAGATCCTGAAGTGCAGTAAATAAAATAAAACTGTACACTGTACAAACACACCACAAACGATAAATTCCACGAGAGGCAAATCAAAACATAGAATTAATTGAAAGAATGATTAACAAAAACTGAAAAAATAATGGCTAAAAATGCCTTTTCTGTGCTTTTAAGAATAAATCTCAGTAAATGTGCCCTGCAAATGTTACACTTTGTACTAGAAACAATAGCAGATAAGCATAATAAAAACCTATTTTTTTCCTGGCAGAACAGAAAACATACCTTCATCGAGAATTACACAGGTGATAATGGTAAATTTTTATAATGAATGCAGGGTGATCAAAGACCCGCTTAAACTGCAGTCTTAATAGCTCGAAGAGTACAAAGAAATCAAACACTGCATAAAGTGGCACTAATCCAGTTTGAAACTTAATGTAAAATAATGTATAAAGAAGGTCCTTAGTTCTGGATGGATAATGAGGGACTGTTTTGAAGGCATAAGGAATGCTAAATTAAGATATGACTGCTTACTATGGCAGGTGTCAACACAAAATGATGCACCCTCCAACCGATTCCTGAAGAGCAGTTTCACTAAACTAGAGGACTTGATAAATGTGGATCCCACTGAAACTAATACTTCATCTGAATGCAGACCCCCTATGCCCCCTTGTGGAGTCTTAATAAAAGACTAAATTGTTAGCACGTATTAACCGATGAACTAATTTAATCCGTCCATCTACTCCAAAAAGTCAGAGAAACCTTTGAGTTATTAAAGCTAAGATTCACATTAAGGCACATTAATGTAAAGACACGTGCTTATGTCATTTTCTAGTGAAGTCAAACAATCTAGTCATATTTATTTCTAAAGATAAAAAATAATGTTACTGCCCAGTTAGTATATTTTAGTAGATGATGTTCAAAGGCACTACTAAATTGAATCCATGTATCTAATATTTCCAAGTGAAATAGCCAGTATCCTAAAGGTTTATATTGAAAATGGGGATAAAAAAGGAAAGAACAAAGGAAATGGAGGGGGTTCTAAAACACAGATAGTCACATTTACTAACATTTAAAACACTCCCAGCCAAACTACTACTGGATAAAACCTCCTACTCACCATACGATAATAGTACACGTGTGCAGGGCTGTTAGAAAGAAACTACTCGAAGATTCCAGAATCATTTTGAGATTTTAGAGCTTATCAAAGATGATGGATGAAAGCAAACAAAGCCACTAGATGTCATGATGGCTTCCTCTTAAGTAAACAAATGTTGTTACAATATGTGGACTAACGTAGAGACAACTACTGAAGTCATCAACACCTCAGAGCAGTAGGCAAACACATAGTCTAATTTAAACTGCATATTACTGTATATGTTTAACTGCATACACTTTGGTGTATGGACAGATTTCCAAGTTTAAAGATTAATAATAAAGCATGAGCAGACTTTCTAGGCTGAACAATAGCAAATAAACCGTAAGAGTCAGACCCAGAAGTGTGAATTGATTGTTTCGTAATGTTTCACCCCAAAGCACTTGTCATACAGGAGTGAACCTACTTTCTCTATCACTTCAGTTAGAGAAATATTAAAAGATTTAATCAAATTGATTGTAAGCCTCTGCAATGCGTGTCGCACAGTACAGGCAGCACATTCAAGTGACTTTCTATGAGCACAGCACATATTCAAGCAAGCTATCTGCATTTAAAATGAGCACAGCTTTGGGTGGACACTAGGCATCAGCTGCTGACTTAAGAGTGGTTCCTTTCTGACAACTCTACACGACACAGAGCTAAATCTAATGGTTACCTCTGGACTTTTGTCTGCACTTGTGCAGGATCTTCCCTACGGTATAAAGGACTGATCGAAAGGACAAAGAAAAGAAGAAAAAGGAGAAGAATAACACTGCCTTTAATAAAGAAGCACTGATACTCTCTTGAATGAGAACAGAGGTGAAAAACTTTAAAAAATATCATTTGGATTTTAAACGTGGAAAATAACTAGCTATTGAGCATACTTCTCATATAATACAGAAGCAATGTATATCCTTAATTACTACTTTTGTCATTCAGGCTTAACTGAATTTCTCCATTTCTTCTATTTTAAAGTTAATTGGAAAAGTACTTAGACTGCATGTCCTATGCTACCTGAAATTTTCATTTCTTTTTAAAGAAAGTACAGTAGTTCACTATTTCATATTTTATGGTCTCTTTTTCTGGCGTGATGTGAACTTGACACTTTAAATGTTTAACTATGACTTACAGTAACTGGAGAAAATGTTCTTTTAGGAGACTAAAAACATTTGTGTATACAGTTGTTTGTGTATACAAATTTTATATTTCACAGTTCACTACGTGAAAAGAATCTGACACAACCTGTGCATGGTACATACTTAAACATGAGATCTTTCTGAAAATTTTAATCCACAATCAGTATTTATTTACAGTTTTGTAAATATTCAAAATAATAGAACAGTGGATATGGCATGTGCAGAAGTTTAGGCACCCTGTTAGTCAGTACTTATCAACACCCCCACTGGCAGAAATCACAGTTTTCTGTTGCCAGCTAGAAGTCTCTCTTTTCTTGCTTTCAAAATTTCCCGATTCTTCCTTGCTGAACTCTCCTAGCTTATAAGTATTCTACGGTCTTCTTGCATTCACTGCACATTTCAGATCTCCCCACAGATTTTCAAGTCTGAGGACTGTACAGCATACAGTTTGCCATTCCTTAATCTTTCGCTCTTCTAAGATTTTTGATTATGTTTAACAGTGTTGTCTTGTTGAAATATTCAACCACTTTCCAGCTTCAATTTCTTCACTGATTCTGGGACATTACCTTTGAGGATTTGTTGATACTTAGTTGAATTCATTCTTCTACCAACATAGTATTTCCTGTGCCACACAATCCCAAAGCAAAATGGATCCACCCTTGTGCTTAACAGGTGGAAGCGTGTTCTTTTCTTCAAATGTTTCTCTACTTTTTTTTCCCCAACTATATCTTCCTTCATTTCATCCGTCCACAGCACTTTGTTCCAAAACATTTCTGGCTTATCTAAGTATTGTTTTGCATACTTTAGATGTTAGCGTTTGTAATGAGGTAGTAGGAAAGGTTTTCTTCTGACATGTGTTGCATGCAGATAATTTTTGCGTTACCTACTGTGGACCTATGGACAGCTTTTCCAGTGTCAGTTAAACTTTTCTGCAGGTCATTTGCAGGGATATGTGGATTCTACTTTGCAGGTCTGACCAGTTTTCAAATGGTTCTATCAGAGATTTTTCTGGGTCTTCCAGATCTGGCCTTGACTTCAACAGTTCCATTTAACATCCATTTTTTAATGATGTGTCTGACAGTTGAAATTCCATGCTAGAAGCATTTAGAAAACCTTTTTATAGGCTTAACCTGCTGTGTCAGAGTCAATTATCTTTAATTTCAGGTCCTCATACAGTTGCTTAGAGGAGCCCATGGTTGTTGAAAGCAGACGAAACAACGATCACAACTGAGAGGTTAGAAGAGTATTTGTTCACCTGACTCAATTTAAAGCCTAATGAGTCAATCAAGTTTTGAGGCCTTTGAAAAACTCAAATTAAAAAAGTAGTAATGAATCAACTGGAAAGGTGCCCAAACATTTGCATATGCCACGCTCTCTTTTTTAATCTGTTAAAATCAGCAAATAAATAGAAATTGGGCATTCAGTTTTGAAGAAGATGACATGCTAAACTTTCTACCACACAGAGTGTGTCTAAACTTCTTTTCACTTAAAAGATTCACAGAAACATACAATTTGACCAGGGGTACCTAAACGTTTGCATACAACTGTAATTATTCAACAGGACTTAATATTCTTGGCTTAAAATCTGAATTGTCTTAAAATTAATCAAGTAATTAGGAATGCTCTTGATTCTTGATGAACCTTTGGGTTAGTCATTTTACTTGAATTCTCAAACAGTTATATCAAGTATAGATTTTCTTCCACAAATACATAATATGTCCTATGCCATACAGACAAAAACAAAGATCGAAAACTGGGTTAATTTGAAGAAAGCAACATTATAAAAACAGAAAAATGGAGCAGTGACAAAAACCAAAACTCACTGGAAAAATTATCTGAAGCATGTTACTATTACCACAATTTACATTACTGACAATACTGCAATTGTTAGACCAAAATTCGTTACTGCATAAAGTCACAGTAATTGCATTATAAAACAATTATTCTCTTGACTGTCACCTGTCAAATTTATATTACAATGTAAAATAGCGAAGATACCTCCATTCTAAAGACTTCAACTACATTGAAACAGTCCAGTATATTAACCACATATTGCAAATGAAAAGTAGAGCATTAAAACAATAAGTTTAAAGGTGTTTCAGATTTGTTCCTGGCTCCAGCTACTGTAGCTCTCATTCTACAGCAAACAAAACATTAACACAGCAGTTATTGAAGACCACAACTAACTGTGTGTAAAGTCACATTCCTCACATGACATCTTAAATAAAACATTGTGCATTGAATGCTATCTGTGGAGGATTCTATTAGAGCTATACTGAACTTAACAGAAAACAAGCTAAATGTAAGTTCAGTGGTTTTTTCTTATTTTTGTATTTAAGTAATTATCCAATAAATTTATAATTTAAGTAGCACTTAATTCTTACACAGTATGTACCATGTCCTTGTTGTTAGAACAAGGCAGAGGGATTCGATCCTGGGAAGTTATTATGTGTTCAATTTGCTGTGGATAACATTTACATTGGGAACTCAGAGCTGTAATGCTCTACTAAAGAGAGTATCTGAGAGCTGAATGGAACATTCTATTATGTTTGAATGTGAATGGATTCTGTTTCACATTTTACCATTACTGCTGTTTTATTGTTGTATATTATTGTGAGGAGGAGCAGAGAGTCTCAAGGCTAAATGACTCAGATTGTTGTCTTTCTAAAACCAGAACAGTCCCAAATTCAAATGCTCAATTAAACATTTTTTTTGTTTTCACAGACATTGCAGTTTTAACCCATACTGTATATGGATTGCATTGCCTTTAGTGTCCTTATTTGTGTACATAGTCTGTAAAGAGAAATTGTGTTTTGATGCATTACTTCTGCTCTCCCACAATGTTTTACAGATGAAAAGTTGCTTAGAAGTGACCGTCATAAATCAAATTAAAAAATGTCAAACGTACAGCAGATAATTCAAAATGGTGTTTCAATATTTTAATTTTCTGGGAGGGTGGGTTGTTTAAAGTTATTTAAAGGCATAATACATTGAGATAAAGTGTACAGGCACAAAGTCATTTAAAAGGGGAAGTACAGAGGAGAAAAGCCAGAGATCAGTAGAGGGAGAATATTTCTACAGAGAACTGCGTGCCTAATACAGTGAAGTCAGTTCCTTACCTGTCACTTGAGGAACATAGGGCACAGACAACCTGTCCACACTATAACTTGGACCAGCCAAAGACTCAGAAATTTCATTAGTCAAAAAGAAAAGGCTCTTATTTTCCTTGTCCAGAGACTTGGGAATTCTGTGAAAATTGAAAAATGAAGAAGCATCCGGAATCATAAAGCTGCTTATTTCAGGTAACGGTAAAGGTTGCAGTAAACCCATAGCCAATCCCATGAGTGCAAGGCACAGGCTGGGCTGCAACAGTCTATAATAATAATTATAATAATTGCTTACACTTATATAGCGCTTTTCTGGACACTCCACTCAAAGTGCTTTACAAGTAATGGGGACTCCCCTCCACCACCACCAATGTGCAGCATCCACCTGGATGATGCGACGGCAGCCATAGTGCGCCAGAACGCTCACCACACAACAGCTATCAGTGGGGAGGAGAGCAGAGTAATGAAGCCAATTCATAGATGGGGATTATTAGGAGGCCATGATTGGTAAAGGCCAATGGGAAATTTGGCCAGGACACCGGGGTTACACCCCTACTCTTTTCGAGAAACGCCCTGGGATTTTTAATGACCACAGAGAGTCAGGACCTCGGTTTTACGTCTCATCCAAATATACATGTAAATACATTAATGAACCTAATCAGCATGTGCTTGGGAGTGGGAGGAAACTAGAGAACCAGCTTATAACCCAAGGATAGTAGGAGAACACGCAAACACGACAGTCATACATACTGCTGAACCCAGAACCCAAGTGTTTCAAGGCAGCAGTATTACTACAATTACAACAAATAACTGCATAATAGACATGCTTAATGAACAATTCATTTATATATTAACTTTCAAATTTTAAGTGGATATTTCATTTTTAGAGAAACTAAATATGAGCAGATTTCTTTACATATTTAAACTTTTCTTACTGTTTGTTCCTTAAATATCATTGAAAATGGTTTTCTGCTTACGTGCACTTCTCTCTGAAGATATGCTCTGGTAAAAGGTAAGGTGCCTCCAGGTTCCTCATTTCAATAACCTGGAGAAACACAAAGAGGGACTCGTTAAGTGGTCATGCAAAACATTGGAGGAGCCATGGTCTGAAATGAAAGGAGTCTGCTGTCCGGGTGTGGGGAGGGTTGAGATGGGGCTGTTGTGTACTGAAATTTTGGATCAAAGCTTCTTTTACAATTGTTCAAAATAAAATTGGAAAAAGGGTTAAATGTAGCCATCGCTTTTCACAAATTAAACAGCATCATGTTCTCCAATTTGGCACATTTCAACTGGTCTGTCAACAAGTACAAGTTCTGTTCAACATAAGGAATCTGTCTGAACATTCATTCAAAAGTTTCATTCATACTCTGGTCTTCAAGGGCTATATGGGTCTCCAGTTTTTAATTATATCCAAATCCTAAATTAACCCAATTTCAAAGTTCAAACCAAGCACTCATTAAAGAAGACCCTCTCTAGAATGCAGTGGTTGACACATGAAAATAGTTTATGTACAGTAGAACAGTGACTCTCATTTCTAATTTATTTAATAAATGTGACTCTAAATGGAAAAATAATTTAGAAGTACAACATTTCAACTGGCATTGAGAGAAACAAATGCTTTCATTTTGAATATAAGAACTTAATTGTTGGTTGATTGCCTTAAATACTGTAAGCATTTTTCAAATGCTGTAACTAAATCAGCCTTTTGGAGTCTGTGTGCCACAAATATAATGTAGCATTAACTTAACTAATTAAAGATTAAAGATCAAAGTTTTATCAAGTATGGTATCTAATACATTGAATGTGTGCTCTAAAATATAAGCACTTTATTAACCATAACTTCATAACCATAGTCTTGAGAATGCTAAAACTCTGTTTTCCTGCATTTTGCATTATGGCATATGGGGCTTTCAGTAGAGAACACTGATGAAAAGGGCTACTTTGGCTTTGTTTTAGAAAGCCATCTAAAAACATAAAAATATGTGTAACTATGGATGCAAACAGTGAATGGAAGACCCGCTAAGAATTTTATGGATTGAATTGAAACTCCTGCAGTTTGACCATTTTGATTGTTTTCACTGAACACTTGACAGCCACAGAGTTGAGGCAGCAGACTCTGAGGGGAGACAAACAGTTTGCACTGAAGCATAAAATAATTCTGTGAGGCCCCAGGGACGGTGACAGTTCCTCTTTAAAATGTTAGCAGGCCATCGGATGCCATCAAAAGCTGCAATGAAAAATGCCAGCTGAAGTAATTGATTCAAACAGAGCAACCAATTGCACGACTTTGCTCATCTTGTTCCAGCAGGCTTTTTGTCTTCTCTCATCTTACCTTGCTGACATGCTGGCAGAAGGGGGGGTTTGCAATCATTTGACTTATGAAATTCAAATAGGCTGCCACCAGGGCCATGGTTCCACAGCGGATGAACATGGACAAGTTCTCTTCATTGACGAGGGCCATGTCCTGAAATTAAACATAGAGAACATGAAGAACAGCACATTCTGTGAACCGGTGAAACTGGGTATTTCAAATTGAACATTGCAGGGAAAGTAAAAAAAAAATAGAAAGATATTTACACAGAGAAAAATTAAAAGACATGGTTCCAAAACTCATTGGTTGCAATGCATATATATATATAATGTTCTGTATATACAAACGATGTCTCTGAGATTTGCGGTCCTAATGAAATCTGTTGATCTTGAATTTGTAAAAAAAAACTTCTAGCTCTATATTTTTTTTTACTTTATCTCTTCTAAAAGTGCACAACTTTTGGAGTTTAGCTTTAATGATCTACACCAAATATGTTTTGTTTAGTTCCTAAAAGCTGTAGCATACAACCTACTACAACTTGAATGCTCAACTATTGCAATGACTATAATTAAAGCACTGTTTTTAAATGTAAATTATTTTTACCATTTTTATTTCACATTGGGTGAGTGCCCCCTACTGTCCCCACTAACACCTCTTCCAGCAGCAACCTTAGTTTTTCCCAGGATTTCTCTCATCCAGGTACTGACCAGGCTCAATGGGTTGCCAGTTGTGAGTTGCAGAGTGATATGGCTGATGGCTTTAATCATTTTTTCCTAGTAAGGGTTTGTACACATGGTTACAACTGAAGTTTGAAGTTGGAAAACAAGACATATGAATATTTTAAATACTTACACAAACAGATCTCTTATAATAAATGCATCGATAAACACTGAATACAGTTATTAAAGTGTTTTGGTAAACATGCACTCCGAAACCTAAATCTCCCTATAAAGGAATACATACTATATGACACCATTATAAATACTTTACTAGGCATAGGCTTAAAAAAGTATGTTGTACTATATGACATGAAAAACAATCTTTGGGTTTTTATTAAGAGGTAACACCTTCTATAATTGTTAGATTAGAAATGCTGCAGTTGAATTTGTAAATACAGATAGACTGCCAGTGTATTTCCATATTACATAATAAAAAAGAAACCCATGTTCACTATAACATTGATGCTTTTCTTGGTTATATGGAAAATTCACAGCTGCACTTTAATCTGAGACATTACTTCCAACATATATTACATTTCTGCTTTACAACTCAAAGCGAGCTGAAAGACATTTCCCTTTCCAATGAAAAGTGCATGCAAACTGCAGTCACGTCAGCATTTGACTTGGTGGATTACCATAGAAACTGTTCATGACAACGTTATATTGTCTGTATTAGTGTTCATAGCAGTGAACATCTGAGCATGTTTTGTGAATTATCGAGTAATATTAAGAATGAAAGTTTAAAACTTAAAAGAAAAAGATAAACTCATAATGAGGTGCAAAATCCTACTGAAAAATTCGGTTCTTGGTCCTTAATCAGGAATGTAATATCCTGCTGGGTTTTGTCTTTGTCTCTTGCGTGTACAATCCTAAAGTTGGTTAGTCAAAGCTAACACAGCAACAGTAAATCAACCTAATCACCTGGATACAAAACACAAGAAATGAAACAACAGGAACTTTCAAAGGATATAAATGACTCTTTAAAGTGTCACAGATGGGCCAAAGCAAGGAATCAGCTTGCCAGCAAACAGCACACCTGGTGCTTTCAATTTTAATACCACAAAGCGAAAATGCACAACGGCCTTCTGTTGACACCAAAGAAGTTAAAAGATATGGGATTTTGAAAAGGTATTGTTTTATATTATTTTTTGCAATATATCCATCCAAGATTGAATTCACACCTATGAACCAAGCAACTGCATATGAGGGAGAATGAGAAGTGTAGGCCAGCTCCTTCTTCCCATCCAGCTTCAAGCTATTCATCATTTTACACTTCAGAGCTGACACCTGGGCTACTGAAAGCCTGCACACACCCAGGAAATTGCAGGGTATATCATGTCACTTTACACCAAGAATGCCCTGACTTTCTGATCTCTACCCTGCCCAACAATCTCAACTTTGCCCTGCCCAGTACTGCTCAGTCTATTGTATGCTGTCTCTTGGGGAATCCCAGTCACAGGTCATCTGACATGATCAGAGACTCTTCTGGTGGAACCCAAACCCTACAGCCTTGACCAGCTCTGCCACTAAAGGTCCCCAGATCGCTCTTTTGCTGCAGGATGATTCATTGTCATTAGACCATTCCCTAATATAAACTAAGCCGATTGTTTGATGGTGAACAATGTCATTTACCAGGTGGTTTGGCTTTTGAAAATGCTGTTTTTGTGCACAATGAACCCTCAAGTGTGAAGTCCTTTAAGACAACAAGAAAATAAGAAAGTGAGCATCTCTAAACCCTTGATCAAATAGAAGTATCAAGTACTACACATGCTTTCATTATACAGTAATTTGCTGTAGTCACTTAAATTTGATCATTTAAGCATTGCATTATGATACATATACAGGTATATGATACAATTACAATGATGATGGCATATTTCATACACTGTAGCACTTTTGATCTCTATAAATCTTGAAGTGCTTTACATATAGAACGTGACCCACTCTGTCCACCAGTGAAGTGCAAACCCATTTCAGACGTGTAGACGTGTGGTAGCAATTATGTTATGAATTATTAATTAAAGGGAACCTTTCTGTAGGCCAGATTGTATCTGACCTGAAGCAAGGTACCTCCTACAGCAGTGCATCATCATGCTGGGCCAGTGATTTGGAGACTCTGGTCCAGAGAGAAAAGTTGCTCTCAACAATTTGCCTTTGTAATGACATAAAAATCACAACACTGATTACTTTATACCAAAGGAACATGACTGAATACTTCTAAATTAAAATAAATTTGCTGATCAATTAAATCAACTGTATATTTAGTACATATTGCATATTAATATTATAATACTACAAAAATGAGTATCAGCTACATTTCAGTTGTTTTGAAAGTATTTTGTTAAACATACTCTTCTCAATTAGAGAAATGACCAAACTACACTATACTAGTGTAGTGTCCCAGTGGGAGAGTGTGCTATCAAGTGGGCTGTCTGCCATAATTTGATATTAAAATACATTCCCAAATGCCTTGTGCTTACCACAGCGCAGCTGTTAATGACCAGTAACAGATGTCACTGGATACTCGTACAGCATAATAGTTTGCTTGGTACTTCACTAACTGCTTGTGTGAATGATACCCATTATCATTATTATTATTATTATTATTATTACCCATACCCATAATAACAGGGTAACATGGTATACCCTTATATCCAGTGTATACAGTAGGTATACTCCTGTGCCATTTTGATATGAAATGTATGTATGGATTTGATTAAAGCATCCAAGAAACAGCAAACACATGTTACTCCTTAGCAACTCACTGGCAGCAAATTCACAGGCTTGCTGTTTTTAAACTCCCATTGGTCGGATGTGGGAGGTGTTCTACTCTGTGTGGTAAAAATAGCTACTGTATCTGCCTCTTTACAGCGCATTAATATATGGTAAAGTAGAACAATACAGCAGCTGACAATACTCAGGGGACAAGAAAATGACAATAATTAGAACAGCCAGAAAATAGAGACCCAAAACATGGTCTCTGCCTGATTTCTCACTAAGAATGTCATTTCTGCCAAGCAGCTGTTTTTTTTTTAATTCACTTGAGCATGCAGATACACACTGTGCATCAAGAACCGAACTATCTCAGCCTGCCTCACCAACTGTGTAAAGTCCTGAGAAGCAAATGGGACATAAAGAGCCCTGGCAGAGTAAATTTAAACCTGCCTCAGCTACCAAACACTTTATACACATATTCATATGATATTCACAATAGATAATGTATGTGGTGAAGGCACGTCTTTGTAATTCTATTTACTAGCATGCTTTGCTACTGTAACTAAATTTGAAAAAATGTTGTTCACTCCTTCAGGTATATCACCCTTCCACCACTTAGAAAATTCTACAAAAGAGGAATTAATTAATCATGTTTTGCATGCTAAAAGCAAACTTCAGAATAAGAAAAACCTGGATTTCCAACAATGCACGGGAAAAAAATGGATCATTAAAAACATCCTGCTAGCCTAGCACGTAACAATTACCTTGCAGGTTATCTCGCCATTTTAATCCACCATGAAAGACAATGTTTAAGAGGCACATAATGGTGTACTTTAAAGCTCTCAAAGGAATACTGAACTGCCACCATTAAATCTTTCTTTTTGAGAAGTAGCACAAGGTGATATTCAAGGTACTCTACGAAGAAGGAAATGGATTGATAATGAGACAATGATGCCATCAGGGGGATATTCTTTAGAAAAAATAACTTTCCGCGCAACCACAGCAGTACCCTGTCTTGTCCTCACTGCAGTTCCTAAAAAAATTGAACAACATAGGAGTTACATGGACATCATCTTAACTCTCTTTCATGATTAGGTTAGGTCCCCTTTTCAGGCCATAAAGGCTCATGGGAAATGGGGGGAAAGACCCACCATTTTTCTCAACCATTCAACACTGGACATGGAGGTGATTCGGCCTGTTACCCCCAGAACGATTGACCCATGGGACTCTTTTGGAACGGAGACGGAGTGGCCTGGGAGCCATCTGGAAGGAATTCGAGCTACATCACTTACCCTACCGGGGATTGAACCCGGCACCTTCTGGTCAGGAGCTAGATGCCTGTGCTGCCTGAGCTACCCCGGCTCACTCTTTCATGGTGCCTGATTTAAATGTATCAGTTAACTTTCAGTATTGTTCTTTTCTTGGCAGAATTCCACAGTATCCTAAATTGTTTTGGCTTATTGAGCACATGATTATGCCCACTCATGAAACGAATTCATGTGTTTTGATATGTGGGTTTCAATGTGTACAAATTCAAATTTGTTTTAGATTAAAGTCTCCTGTCAGTGGTCCTCCATCAGTTTATACTGAGGGCACCATTATCCTTGTTGTAACAGCCAAAATCACTTACAATGAAACCTCATGAGCCTACACCTGAATGTAGACTGATGAATACAGACCCGTGGGTCCATTTATTTGTCTTCAAGCAATACTGACAATCCTACAGTACAGCATTGACTGGTACTAGGTCAGAACTGTTTGGTAAACCAATGGAGGATGAGCTAATAAATCATAGAACCACACTTATCTACAGATCATGATCTCTTAAATCCAAAAAAGAACAGCACTCTTGAAGAGTCTATGGATGGATGCATTTGATTTGACTGGAGTTTTTCCTGCCTTAAGCTGATAACTTCAGAAATCAGTTTTTATCTTGCGATTCCACTTCTGAGCACACTGTCAGCACTTTCAAGGGTAGTGCATGTCACATTTTAGAGATTAATAGTCTCTTTTCAACAGCTATCTGAAATGAGCACTAAAATGAAACCTAACATTATTTGCACCCATAAAATTAATTTGAAATTAGTGTCTCAAGTATTAATTCATGCATTAATTCTGTATTTTTCATTTGTTTTACATCTGCTTGGATTTATTGTGACTGAGATGTTGAGTGCCTTAAATGTATCCTCACTGCATCCCCTAAGTGTGCTGTGTTTCTTTAAGAAGAGATATGACAAACATTATTTACAAACATGTTCTCATTCTGCAAAGGAAAATGTTCAATTCACAGACTGTTCTAACCACTGATAACTCTGTCATATATTTATTCTGAAGAAACAAATCTGCATCGCCACTCTGTCTGGGAGAAGATGAAATAAGTCAGCACATTATTATAGTGTAAAATAATAATAAACATTATTTTATATAGCATCTATATAGAAGTGGCTTCTCAACGTACTTTACAGTAAGGAAAAAAACAAAGAGAAGACAGCTGAATTAAACAATCATAATAATGGTCTGGAATACAATAGGAAAGCAAAGCAATTAAATGAAAGCCCTTCTAAAGAAGAAGGCTTGGACTCTTGATTTGAAAGTACTCGGGGAAGGTGTCTCTGTGATATACTTTATTATAGTGTATAGTATTATACACAAATACGTTTAGGGGAAAGACCTGAGACCAGAGACAGTCGAATGAAGGTTGCAAGGTGGAGAGTAGGAAGATAGTAAGTCAGACAGGTACCAAAGTGCCAAGCCATATAGAGCCTTTTAGGGGAGCATGAGGACTTTCAAGTTGACACAAACCCTGATAGGACTCGAGTATAAGAATAACGTGGTCACTTGCAGAAGACAGGTCAGGATTCTGGCCACCGAAGGATGGTAACATCAGGAAGGATGGTATTGTGCTATAATTTAAGCACTTATCGTTACCTGCAGAGCGATAGCCAGGCGGATTAGGTCAATCACCACTTCTTCATTGGCCAGTTCTATGGTGATGAGAGCCAGGGCAGTGAAGAGCAGCTCGAAGTTCTTGTGCACATTGTCTTCTTCCTTGCACCCCAGGTAGATGTGACGGTACAGCTGCTGTCCATGCTGCCGATGGAAGAGAAAATCAGTATGCCTACACCTTATTACTGAATTAGTACCTCAATTGTTTTGAGGATGGGTGAAATCACTTGTCATTCACAAAAAAATTGAATTACTCATTAATGGCACCGTGCAAGATAAAAACATAGAATCTCTATCAAGAGTTTGAAATAATCACAGGGGAAAAATACACTTATAAGCATGCCCAAAAAGGTTATTTTTCATTTAATCTGACCATAACTACTGTATGGTTCCAACAGGCATTCAATAAGTGTTCTCCTTTTGTGGCTTGTCATCGTACTTGCAATCTTATCACGAATACCACGTGCATGTGATGCTGAATGGTAGCTTTCAACACTTGTAATCTGCGACTGCCAGTTTTTGTTGGAGATCGCCAACTGCTGCCTTTGGATTCAAGGCTGGCCTGGGAACTCCCTGTCTCACAACTTGTTGTGACCAAAATACACATCCATTCTTCCAGGCAGGGTTGCCAGCATACCAACAGCCTTACATTAATCAATAATCAACACTGCAGGGGGAAGTAGTAGGTTTACCAATGACAGTTACAGCACAACAGAATTGTTTTGAGCAAATCAGCTATCCTTAAGAAAAGCTGAAAACGAGAGGAAGGTATTCACCCCATGTAGGCATTGTTGGTCTGAAAAAGCACTTCCACACAGTGTACACACTTGTATCAGGTCCCCACATACTCTTCTCTGTCCAAGTCTAAAATACAAGTTTCTTCACCGCTGGTATAGAACATACCCTTAACCCCCAAAATATACAGTAACTACTGTACTCATACTGTATAATCCATAACCCATTCATTTACATGTTTTTTGGTTCCTATTTTGTCAGGGGTCTGAATACATCTGGGAGACACTGTATGAAGTAAAAAATTATCGTATTCAAGGTTTTTAAGGTTTGCACGCATAGACTGCATGCAAATTTAGAGCTACATCAGATATTTTACTTAAGACACTGTGTAAGGTAACTTAGCAGTACTTTTACATTCCTATCCTACAGGATGATCCCTCCATTGGGACCTTCTTTCCTGACCCCCCTTCATCTCATATCGCCGACCACCTAATCTGTGTAACCTCCTTGTTCGCAGCTCCCTTGACCGCCCTAAGCAACCATCCACATCAGGCACTTTTCCCTGCAACAGAGCTCGCTGTATCACCTGCAAGTACACATCTAACACCGTAGTCATACATGGCCCCTCAGGACAATTCTGGATCACTCAAATGACATCTTGTATCTCCAGCAGCCTACTGTATGTGTTTCCCCAATGTAGATGTACCAGCCATCTACACCGGGGAAACAGGAAGGAGACTTGGAGACGGCTTCAGAGAACATGTTAGGGCTGTGAAGATTAAAGATTTCTCCAAGCCCATATAGTCTCATTTCACCTCTGACGGCCATGATCACACTGATCTCTTTGTGTTCTCAAAGCTGGTTATCCTAACACCAACTTCAGAAAATTTTAGTTTCTGTAGTCTATCCTGAATATTCACACCTTCCCCCTTCTCTCAACAAAAGACTTGTTTTCTCCTAATTCTCTCTATTCATTTGTAGGTTTCGTTTCACACCTCTCCTCACCTCTCTCGACCTCACACCACTCGATTGGCCACTCTGCCTCTACCCTGCTCCCACCTCCTCCTCTCTCCTGGCTTTTGTTTCCCCATGCTATATTATGTTTGTTGACTGCCCTATCTTTCTTACACCCAAAGGAGGCTCCACAGCAGAAACGCTGTGTTTTCTTTCTGCTCTTTTCAGCATGGAATAAACCTTTTACTTGTTCGTTTGCAACCTACGCATGCTGACGCAGCTCCCCACCTGAACTACTTGTACATTAGCATCCTCATTACTTTGCGGTTTTCTAGAACTCATTATAACCACAAGTGAGAATATTCTTCTGGTGCTTTGTGTGACTAAGGTTGTTTTTTTCTCACATAATTAGGGTTTTAATAAAATTCACATGGTCATGTGTTATTCTGCTGATGTAAATGCGGTGCTTTAAACATGGAGTTTGGATGAGATACTGTATATTACACTCAGAACCCGTCAGACATTGCTATACAGTATGCAAGCCAGGAGGGAGAAAGACTGATTTTCCTATAACTACCCTAGGAACTGGTTCGATTATTAGATTACATTTAATTTGCTTTGCATCAGATGTAGTTTAGAATCAAGATCTAGAAGCACCACTTGTATTTTATTTACAATTTATCAGTATGAATGCTAAGCACATACAGTAGACAGAAATTCAACGTATACTTTTATGGGCCTTGAGCCCGGTTGCAAAGGAAGCCCAAGTTAAAACAACTTCAAACAGAAATGAATTACAAAACCTGGAGCACTCAGCAGACTAATCAATCTGATCCTTTTTAATGTTATTTTACAGTCTTAAAAAAGTTTTTTTTTATTTTAGACAATACACTTCAACTTGCAGTGTACTTCCTATGTGATATACCAGGAAGAAAACAAAATGATCAGCTGCTTGATGAAAAAAGAAAAGCAGATCCTGATTTTGTACATTTAGAACTGTTCTGCTTCTTGATAAAACTCCATACAGCGCTAATATGAATGCGTTTTGAGATATTATAACTGCAAAGAAGCTTACCTGTATATAGATTTCAAAAGCACCCTATAATTTGAATAATGCTTTAATGTAATTTGCGATAGAGATGCAAAGTGGAGACAGCTGTGTCTTTTCTCTTAACTTTATACAGTTCTCAAAAGGGTTTTTACATTAAAACAAACAAAGAGGCCCTGTGAAGTGAAAGGACTGTTTTAATTACGGTACAGCATTTAATCAAAGGGTAGTCCATTTCTGGAAATTTTTACATTCCTGCCTATCTTCAATAAAGTCCTTACTATTTTCAACACATCATTTGATTTTTGGTTTAGGGATGGTAACCTTCTAGTGCACACCAACCAATAAGACCAGTCTTTATTTGGTCCCTTTGCACGAAAGTTGTACACAGATGCAGGCCTGTTATCAAGTCTAAAACTAAACAAGCTCGTTTCCTCAATTTACCATCAGACAGAAAGAACAATACAATCTCAAACATACTGTATACTGTGTATTAAAAGAAAGCTCTTAAGTGTTTCTTAATTAAATATGGGGATACTGTGGATAATGTAAATTGATTAAAGGTTTCTGGAGTAATTTGCTTTAAGTGATCATTTTATAAACTGACCATAACGCATTTTGTGGTGTAAGCACTAGTTCACCTCAGAAATAAGATGTCAGGTTCGGTCAAATTAATGAAAAACAGAAAGGAACCCATACTGTATGTCCCACTTACTGTATACAGAGAACACCTCTTTTTTGCTATTAGTATGTTGAAAGCAGAACTATCTTAGTGTAGTGATGTTCGTCATCTGCAGTGTTCACATTCAGCAATTTCTAATCTGACAATTCATTACAGCCAGACATAGTTAATCAATGACAGGATATGATCCTGTCATTGATGAATGACAGGAATCAATTCATTTCCATTGCCTGCTACATCACAATCATAGTTTTCCCACTCAAACAATGTATGTTGCTTACTTGCCTTGAACATTATTGACCATTACTTCATTTTGAATAATGTTTGTCTCTAATTTAGGCTCAAAGATCTGTGAAAGAGCAGAAGTTGTTTTTAACCTCTGAGAGAAAACAGTATAGAATCCTACAAGATAGCAGTTATTTCAATAATTTTGCAATTTAATGTATTGATAACGTGACCATACCTGTGACTAGCTTGTCTTTCACAGTACAGTAGTTACTCTGTTGATCACTGTGAATTTACTATGATTAAAAAAAATAAAATAAAATCAATTTACCAGTGTGGTTTCTACATAAAACAGTGTTTGTATCTCTGCTACATAAATACTACAGTGTCATTTTTCTGCTCAGTATCTTTTTTTTTAAGCTCAGTATCTTTTATAAACCTACATTCATAAAAGACTGCCAAGTGCCAAGTCCTTTTTTGCCTCTCAGTTGGTACTCCCATCGTTTCCAAGTTAATCCAGGGCATTTTGTGAAATGTGTTTTTTTTTCAGACTATTAAAAGTTTTATAGCTTTAACTTATACTGTAGCTTTACGGGTTATACTGTAGCTTTAATCTGAAAAAAAAATGTTTTGAATAATTACATCCATTTAGAGTAATAAAGTACAGGCCAACATGGATAATTGTGAAATCTCAGATTTCTTGTACTAACTTAATTATTGTGTCAATGTCTCACTTGGAAGTCAATGTTTTGACAACCTCTCAAGATTTCACATCTACTAAAAGATTAGACTATTTTGGTGAATACAATTATTCAATGACGTGGGATGTGAATTGTCCTCAAATCCATTAATTAAGAGTGGAATGCTAAGACAGATATTTTTTTTAATTGATACAGAGCTGTTACTTTCCCAGCACTTATCTTTACTGAACATTTCCTGCAAGCTCATTTACCAAATGCACTACCAGGCCATCTGGAACAAAGAATAGCTTTAGAAAAATAAGTTAATGTATTTGAACCCATTCTTTTAAAATAATTTATATTGAACATGTGAATGCTACAGTATCAGGTATTTTAAAGAGAAAATATACAAAAGGAAGGTCTACATTTATCCTTAAGCCCCCATTTAAAACAGTCTTATAAACAAACCTGTATAAATGCTTATAAAATAAACATTATACATAATGTTTATTTTATACAGCCTATTTCATCATCTTTATCAAGGGAGCAAATAATTCTGGAGGTGACTTTGCACAACATTTCAATTGCCTATATGTCTTGTGGATGCTGCTGTACAATAATTACACTGCAAAACATTTCATGGTTTCTTATTAATGGATCCAAATACAGTATAGGATCCTCCCTACTATATATCTAAAATGCTTTATTATGTGTTAGGATGAAAATCAACATAAAATGAATAATTCTTATGATTACCGATAAAAAATTGCACTATTATTTCTGACTTTTGCAACTCCATCATGACAATTATTTCTAGCTACCGGCTTCCAGGCAACAAGAATCATTAGACTGCAAAAAGCAGTACAACAAGTGTTTTAATCATCATAGCAATTTCAGGGATTCTGGATGTGTTAATTGAATGCCCTTCTTAAGCAATTTTGTTCATTAAAAATAAATGATGGTATATTTAGGAAAATATTTAATCTAGGCATAATCATCCATTTTCTTTCCAATAGTCTGTAAATTGAGATTGGTTAATTATGATGAGAGGAACACTGTCAAATTAGGCTTAACTAAAAAAACACATTATATCTTGGGGGGTTTATGATAGAAACTGTAAATCTCTTAAAGTGCTTCCTATGCTTCTCCATCAACAAATATATGCCTAATTTGTAAAGGAATTCTCAAACGTAAATGATAGTGCTCATTACTGTTTGTGCCTCCGATACCTCTGTATTGTTCTCTTTTGTAAACACATTCTGTTACTATACATAGCCACCCTCACCCCTAGTATGTGTAAGCCCTGATGTATAAAAGCATCTGAAAAATTACTATAATGATTATTATTTCACATTACTACACATAATTTCCTTGCCAGAAATTATACATGAAAGAATTACACGAAAACCTACCATATTCCACTAATGCAGCTCAACTGATCTCATTACAAATGCAAGTAAAATGGCATTTCCTTTTGAGAATATACAGCAAAAATAACAAGCTACCAACATTGTAGACTCTAAAAGCAGTGAAACTGAAAGGAAAAAAGTCACTATCAACAAATACCCATTTCCACTGTTCACTGCTATTTCACACTCAACCTTAAATACATGACTTTCTCCCATTCCAGTACTTAATTATAAAGTATGTTTTTAAAAAAATATCAAAAGTCCACTATCTGGTGTAATCACAAAACATTTTCCAAATGTTTAACACTCTCCTCCCCTGGATTCTCAACCTGTTACTTTACTTTTCTTTTTTACAGTATGTTAAGCAACAGTTCTACAACAACTGCACATTTTGGTATTGGCTACTCCTTATTTGGCTCCTTCCAGTTTAGTTTCTGTTCTACACACCACTGAAAATGTTCTGTTTTCCATCACAGATTCTCCAATCCTTTTTATGATTCTCTACCTCCATTTTTCTTCATTCTATCACCATTGTTTCCTCCTCTACTGCCAAGAACTTTGATGTCACCCTAGAATCTCTTCCTTTGCTACTGTAATTAAACCACATTTTTTATTGTCAATGTGTTTATTTTTTCTAATTCTAATTTTTCAAGATACCACTGTTTACACACACACATTGTATACAGTTCATATGATATTATATCATTTTGATTAAGGTTTAAGTTTTTTTGTGGCATTATTATAACTGGATGTTGCCCTGCAGAGAATAGCCCAAAACATGTGACACAATGTGTTGAAGGGTATGTAATATACAGTATCTCAACATATCCCAAAAGAAATAGGTTAATATGACACACAGAGAGGCACTTTCAATATTCCTGAAGTCTGGGAAAGGCAGTGGCACTGACATTTAGCTGGGGAAGGGTTATAAAAAAACAACAGTATAGAAAAGTAGTTGGGCATTAGGCATATAACGGGTATTAAAACCAATAATATTTGCTTTTTATATATTCATTCTTTAAAAATATAGCTCCCAACTCTGCTATTGATATTTCAAATAAGACAAAAATTTTCCACTTACTGTAAACCTGAGAATGCAAATCATCTTTAATTCTATTAGTACTGCATCTGTCTCCAAATTATGTTTTAAACTTAAAGTCACGGTAATACAGGTCACACAATTCACAATAATTCACAGGTCACATCTCAGTAGTAAAAAATAATACAGTGTATTATAGAATTCTGTCATTTACTGCTATTAAATTTATCTTAACATGCTCTAATTTTTCACAAGTTATGGATGTTAGCTAAAAGCTTCAAGCTAAAAAGCATTCTAAAAAAATAAAGGAAATAATATGTCACTGCAATATCTTCTCTAAACTACTGAAGCCTATCATCTTTTTCCCTTTACAAGTTAATAAGAAAAAGAAGAAATGAATTTTGAAGCACAAGGTACCAACTGTGGACATTTCTGTGTCATTCACACAAAGCTCCCATAAAATTCACTACAAAGAATAAAAAAATAGCTTTCTGCCCTTAAAATAAAGTCCGAAGTAGAAAAATACATTTTTTTCTTCCTTAGGCAAATCACAAAGTCGAAAGGCGTATTTGCTAACAGATGCAAAAGTTCATACATGCAAACTGATTTTTGGTTAAGGCATCCAAAAAAACACTTGACGTCAAGCGCAAGAGAAACGTTATGGACAAAAATGATCTGTACCCGGAAAATAAAGCTTTTGGCATATACTGTAGATCAATACACTCCCTGTTGCTTAACTATCTACCTGTGAGCGAACTTGAGGGACTTGAACCACTCACAGTGAGGAACAATGGCTGGGAATGCAGTCACATATACTGCCAGCTGGCCCCATGCAAGCTTGCTCTAATAACTCTGCAAGAGTACCTCTATCGCTTCCTTTCTTTTCAATGCCCCCTACTGCATGAATGCCCTTACTGAAAACTGCTGGGTCCTCAGCTGTGACCACCACATTTCTTCTGCTTGCTAATGGATCTCTAGAGCCAAGGAGAATGGAAGCCGAGCAGATTGCATTTTTGTACAGCTTAATCCCCTACCAAGTGTGCAACTTTCTGGCAAAACAAAGTGTCATGGGCCTTCTCCCTAGGTCTCCATCTAGCATTGTCAGAAATAATAATAATAATAATAATAATAATTTCTGATAATACAGAGGGAATGATTAGACTAGATTCACACAAAGTCAATATTGTTGAGAAAAAATTCTCAACAACTAATCAATAATAAATATAACCAGATGTCTGAGTGATTTACGTGTAGAACACAGACTCAGCTGATGGACGACAGTTACATACTTTTAAAACACATGGCGTTGTACTATTATTCATAATTAAGGTTTAGGGTACTAAGTGGAAAATCATGATAAAACTGTGATTGGCTTTTGCGATCTTACCTTTTTCATGAAGCTGACATCTTGTTTAGAGATCTTCTCTCTTTTGATCTTCAAAGCTGACACATCTGGGATAATTCTACAATCAACACGGAGAAAACATTTTTAACAGTTTGTAATGAAAACTCAACAGCAGTGAAGTTAGGAGATGTGGGGAAGTGCTGCTGATTCTTAAGCAGTAAAATATTCATACTAAACAAAGCCATGATTAAAGAATTGCTGGCAGTTACCATAAGTCATCTTAACAACTCTTCAGTATACACCAGAGTGTATATATAGCCCCTCTTCACTTTAATTATAACTTACTGGGTGTCTTAAAAACTTTGATCAGCACTGATACCAGTGGATGTAACGGTAGAATTAGAATGCAGCAAGCTTGTAAATATAAAATATTTTATACTAAAATATAGAAATATAAAACCCTGTAGAGGTCTCATCCACAATCAGGGATAATGCAATATATGACAAAATTTAGTAGAAAAATACTCTTTAATGTCTTCATAATGTATCTAATTGATCTATTTTGCTTATTTTTAATTTTTCTGAGCTTCCATTTTTTGTCATACCATTCATCACCTTTTGCTTTTGAATAAAATGCACTGCTCATAAAAAAGAAATACTAATCCATAAACAGATGAGTGCATACACCATTTACAACAAGCAGTGACGGCAGACTGTCCCGTGTTTCACAGGATCAGGCAAAACTGCAAGTGGATCATGAAAAACCGCCGTGACAGGCAGTCAGTACGAGTCCCTGCCTAGGAGTAGCCAGCTGTTGGCCACTGCACTGCTGTCCTGAAACCTGACAGCTGAGCTCCTCCTCACCTAATGGCTTCTGTCTTCTCAGCAGGTGCGTGAGGCAGCCAGGAGGAAATCATAAAGACAACTCACTAGAACTCTGCTACAGAGAGAAAGGCTGACTCGTTTTTGTGCCTTTTTTTGTGTGACAATTGCGCAACTCGAGAATAAAGAGCTCCACTGCCCTTCTTGGGGTTACCTTCCTGGTAACACTGATACCAGGCCAGTGACGACCGTCTTGACCGTGACCCACAGAATCAAAGAGACAAACTCTACCTTATCCCACGCAGCTTGGCCCTGTTATCATGGCGATCGATGAGGTTGTGCAGAATCTCCAAGACGAGCTGCCTCAATTCACTGTCCTCCATGAGGGAGATTGAAAACAAAGGGTCCAGGAAGGGCGCGGGGAGGGCCGAGGCTATGGTCTTCGCCTTGTAACCTGAGGTCACCTGGCATGCAAGGCCATGGCAAGAGATGCAGCTCATTGAACAGTGCAAGGGTGGCAGGTAGAAATACTTAGGAAAAAGAAGTGGCCTTTCACAAATTCCTATGGTCAGCAGACAGTTCCCAATTATGCATTCAGACCCTGACTCATATTTGAAAATACCCATTGTAAAAGATACATTTACTATATGCTTCTGTACATACTACGGTATACACTTCTGTGCGAGTACAAATATTCCAGTCTTCTGTCGTATTTTTCATTTACTTCCAACAGCGATGCAGATTATAGACTACCAGTGTGAGCTAAATATGAAATGTAGTCAAGCACGGTAACTTTATCACATTCTGCTTATAAAAAGAGAATTTTGAACCAAGAACCACATGGCTCAGCTGTTCATCCCCAATGGAGAGCAGACGATTGCAGCACAGGGTTTAATCTGTACCTATGTGGAAAGTGATAGGAATCAAAAGAAACATTTGATCTTAAGTAAGATAAAGCTCTGCAGGAAAGCACATTTAAAATGTCTAAAAAACTTCTTTGCAGGAAATAAGATGTCTGCCTTGTGATTAAACAGGATGACCTTTTGACTGCTTGGATTTATTAAGCTTTGACTGGAAGCAACTGCAGGCAAGTAAATTGCTTTAAACTGTACCCATGGACACAGAACAAGGACCTCCGATTCGCCTTGGAGCTGCGGTAAGCTAAAAATAGGCTAACCTTTCAACATACTCTGTTAAGGAATATAAAACAGCACATTTTTACCACTATAATTTACATTCAAATTCTGGAAATTGTGCAGATTGCTTTCACCATTGCCATTGGAATTGATGGTACCTTATCCTACCACATGTTAAGATGGGGCAAATATAACATGAATACAGCCAAACTGCTGACCTTATATGCATGCTTTGATACTTCTAGAACAGCAAAAGCTTGTTTGGAAGCATTCAGACTAATATACCTTTATAAGATGGAAGAAAGTATAAGAATCAAATCATTTTGTCTTAAATGAGACCGATTACTTACCTAAAACAATCAACCTAAACCGATTACTTACCTAAAACACCCTGAGTACTACTCTAGTTCAAACGGGTCACCTTGATAACATTTATAAATCAGAATTCACTGTAAAGAACAATTCACACTGATGTGCTTGCTTCTTAGTTTACCAATTCAGTCACGTTTGCACTAGACAATAATTGCTCCTAAGAATGGCCATAATATGACAGATGAATAATCCTCAGAAGGAATAAAATCCTCAGAAAGATTATTGTAATTTTAAACAGAGAAAAATGAGAGAAAAATGAGAGAAAAAATGTATTTCTTTCCGGTGTGTATTTGTTTTAAAAACTTGATTATATACAAGAAGTAACAATAGACAAGGTAATAGGTATAGTCAATAGTAATATGCAGACTGGCATGAAGCATTGAATCCTTAACTGAAACTCCTGACCTCATCTTTTATATTTTATGGTCTTCATTCTTTTTTTTCTTTGTTCTTGTGTAGTGGTATGGTATGTTAAAGTCCCCAAGAATGTAATTAATTTGCCTTGAAGAAAAGGTGACTCACACTCTACAAAACATGGTTATCATTAGAAGACCTGTCTTAATGAAATCAGTTTATAACCTGACACATTGTTCAACAGTTTTTGGAAGTGGACAATAATGTATATGTTCTGACAGTTCTGGGGAGGTTTGGATTTTGTGTGAATACAGACACAAAGAATAATTGTGTGGAGCTCTAGCACAATTCAATGTAGGATGAATATACAGCATAAATGTTTATTTGATACATTGAATGTACAGTATGTAAAAAAAGTAAATATGCCAACTTGATTAATGGAAAAAAGGAGTAAATTAAAGAATGAAACCTTACAGTATGTTATTTCTCCATTACTGCATTGCAGATAGACCAGCAAGCTCATTTTTTAAATTATGCAGAATTTGACATTGTGGTCCAAATACAAACATCAGTGACTTAAAAACTAAGTTGAAAAAAGCAGCAAATGAATAAATGAAAGTGTATTGTATGTGAATGTGACATGAAAATCTTAGTGCTCTACCACATGACCTCTATCATGTTCACTACAGCCTGTTTTGTACTGAACAGTATGTTAAGGGAAACTGTCAAATTATTAAAAAAATACCTACCATAATAAGTGACCTCAAAAGCATGACCTGAATGCGTTTAGTCCCCAGGTCCCTGCAAAAAACAGACAATGACCTGTTTCAGGTTAAATATGTTTATGAAAGCAAATGTACAATTGTTATTTTATGTAAAATCTGAGAACAGTGCTTATGCCATTGTATAGTTTTATAAATTGACCTATCCATCCATCCAATATCACAAAGCCACACACAAGTGCAATTCAGAAAAACCAATGAACTTAGGCTGCACGTCTTTGGAAGAAAGACATTAAGGAACAATAAAATTGCATGTAGAAAGTATGCCAATCCAGAGCCAAACCCAGAATCCAAGATCTATGCTAACTCCCACAAATTCATTCTGCCCTACTTTGAATCCAACCTCTGTTCACTCATTCCAAATTAGCATTTGACCAAAATGTAATCTAGAAATTAATCAAAGCTCTTTGTATATAGTTGGTGCATGATTACATCACTGTTTCAATTTTTCTTACTGGCATAACACTAGTCAGCTTGAAAGTGCATTGTACTAGACACTGAATTTCAATCATTTTAGTTAGCAGATCTTCACAACCTGAGATTCTTTCATCTTCCTGCCTTTTAATTCCCCAATCATAGGAACAATCTAACAGGATATTTTGCAAGTATTGCATTTTCTAATTTGCCTGTAATACAGGTTGGCAGTTTCCAGAGTTTGTCCAGGTACTGCTCAGGTTAAATAGGACTCTGTAAAACATAGTTTCTACAAAGAACGGACTAAAACAAAAGTAAACGCACAAACTCAAAAGAGAGCAGTATGTACCTGTGAATTAGAAAGTCAGCTCTTAAGATGAGAGGAGCTCATTAGCAGGAACAAAATGTGAAGCGCTGCTCTTTTATCCCCACACCACCAATAATTACATGTCTGAGTGCATACTGTTAGTGTACTGTATAGCTGCGTCAATGTAGAAATTAAAAAAGAATGGACAAAAACATGATTTACGGCACCTCGGCTGGCTGGCTCCAGTTTTTTAAGCCGTGTGAATGCTGCTATCAGCAGGTTTCCTGAATTAAGGACAGGCTATAAATCTTTTATTTTCAGCAAATGCCCATTCCGTGCAAGGAGAAAAAAAAAGAAGTGTTCTTTTGATTTTGGATTAATCAAATAAGCACCAAAGAACAAGGGATTACTTGCAGTACCATCATTCTGTGTGAAATAAAATGGGGACAGCTTCTTAAGAGGAGAAATTAAATGAAATTTATGAAGAAGGGCTGCTGGTAGAACAAAGACTTTGGAAACAAGGTGTTAGTCTATCAAGCTAATTACCAATTTCTCTACTGGCTTTTAAGGCTTAGTGACAAAGGCTGCACACAGAAAAGCTAAAGCAATGAGGGAAAAATAATGAGATCGAAGGCTGGTGTCAAGAAAATCATGATTCTTTACCTGCTGCTGTTTTCCAAATAAGAGAAAAAAGAAAAAACAGTAGGAATTAATGAATATTTCAGAAATACTGGAGAAAGATTAACCTTTGGAGCCTCATTAATACCATAATCATGCAGCATTTTATATCAAAGTTAAAAAAATACTGTTACATACTTCTGTGAATCTGTGAATATGTCTCTTTTTGTAGCAGCTGCACAGACATGTTTTTGAACATACATGACAGAGGTAAATTCATATACAGTGTGTTCATTTAACATTCATCACCAAGATAGTTGGACAACTGTGAAATTCACAGGCTAGTAGTGTGCTCAGATACTGTTGGAAGCAATACAAGCAGTCCAAGTGAAGGCAGCTTTGCATCAGTTTATAAAACGCTGTGTTCATGGATTCTACCCTTTCATCTTGTAGAGCCTGAATCTGTTCAGCAGTCTCCGAGGCCTACATTAAAAAAATCTTTCCAGCTTAGCCTCACATTATCATTGAGACTCATGTCTGGGCACCCATGGCTGTCAAATTCTCAACTCACAAGAAAACTGTTGCTACAAGAGCAGAGGAGGACGAATGAACGCTTTCCTGCTTAAATCTTGCAGAAGGGGCAAGAAAGATCCCAAGACTTGATTATTGTATCACTGAGTTGTCCAACTGGCAACAATAACCACAAATCTACAGTGTCTCCTGCAAAAACGATCGCACTTGGGCCTCCCAATCCAAACTAGTTGTGCAATTCTGCGCCACATTAAATGAAGTACAGTATAATAGGGTGGCTTATACAAGACCTTGATTCACTTCTGAAGAAGATTCTGCTTCACTACAACTGAGTCCACCTGAGGTGCTGTTCCAAAATATCAATGCCACAAAGACATTACTTTTTTCATAAGTGAGGCATATTTATACCTTTCTACATTTTTCCTGTCTTGATTTTAACCAGGCTTGACATTCTGCAGGTTAAATCACCACATCATCTACTGTATGACCAATTAATTTCCTTACTACAGAGGTACAGCGTTTGCACAGAAATCTGATCATATCACAATCATGCGTAGTTAATTAAAATTATAACAAAAACATTATCAAAATATCCAAAAGTTATTAGTGTTTCTTAGAATACACTATACATCGAATATTAAATTAATTTGATACTCAGAATATAAGTTGCATTTTTTTCCTTTATCCTCTGTGAATGGGGTCCTGTTATTATGTCAATGTTATCAATTGCTGTGTGGTGTTGCTTCAAATTCCTCCTTTCAATTATGGGTATACCTATCTGATAACATAAAAGACAGTTTTATCTTTTACAGGTGTGAACAGAAATGTATTTTCCCACTCCACACTGAAATAGTACTTTGATACCATTTTAGATGGTCCAGGTTACCACTCATTATTGTTGCAAACCATGGATGTATTCTATAGATTCCATAAAAACAATATACTGTAGCACTGAACAAATACAGCACATGCTACACACTTTTCAGTGAGCTGAAATGGCTTGAACCAGAATATAAATGGCACCAAAATGATTTAATGCTAATGAAAATGTGTTCACACTTTGTTACGTCTTAAATTCACTTTGAATGAGCCTTTCAAGTCTTCAAGTCTGCACGTGAAGTTTTAAATCCAGGTATGAAAAAGCAGTTTACATTTGTAACCTGTCCCACTCGAAAATAAACTGAGATATGAGACTCAGCTCAACTGTTCCACACTCCATTACAGACCCATGGGATCCACCCAACCTTGTTACAGATCTAAGGGCTGGAGACCACTGGTTTAAGTTCACAAACAAAGCAATACATACCCGATTTGTGCAGTATCCAGAGTATGACAGGGTGTTCCGTAAACTGGGACTTTCCCCATTATGAACATCATAACCTCTGCCCGCTGATAATCTGGGAGATTCCCTCCAAAGAATCCTGCATGTTGAGAAAAAAAAAACAACAAAAACCTCATCCAGCCATTGCAAGAAAACAGCTTAAACGGTCAAGAGCTGGGACACGTCGCAGCCTGTCCTGGAAGTGTGGAGCGCAAGGGAGGACGGCAAACACATCACAGCACTCTCTCCAGGTGGAGCACCCAGACCATCACAGGCCCAAGAAGAAAAAGACAAGCCAATCCAACCTACCCAGCCTGAGCTTGGGAGGTCAGAGGAAACCAGAGCACCTGGGAAACACCCATTCAAACACAGCGAGAACAGGCAGACACCACAAAGACAAGTGCACAAGCCCAGAATAGGACCCAGGACCCCACAGCAGTGTGACAGCAGCACGAGCCAGCATTCCCCATTTTCATTCTGAGTTTGTGTTCTCATTTTATGATCTTTAAATCCATTTATTACTCAACTTAAATTGAAGATTAATATGTTTTAACTTTTAATAGCAACAGTGCCACATGTCACAACCACTGGTACACTCTGTAATGTTATTTCTACCACTCTGCAGAGGTCAATGTTAAAGTACTGTATAAACGTATACTTGGTAAATTGGTATACTTTATGGGTATATTGTACTGCATATACACACCAATACAAATGAAGACATGAATACTAAAACAGTTCAGATACTTCTTTGCACAGTATGCCTACAACCTTTTTTTTAATACTCTATTTTTTCATTTAAAAAACAATATTGCTCTAGGAGTTTGTGAAGCCTAGCTTTTTCAATTTTTGCTGAAGGGAAGGAAAAAATTCAAAGCTATGCCATAAATAAAATGGGTACCTTTATCAAGACAACTTCCACTAAATGTAAAGTACATCCCAAGTATGGGAAAAACAGAAACATGCTGGTAAGTGCCCTCAACCTTCTCAATTCTGATACTCATGCAAAAGCCTGGTATTTATACCACATCTGAACAAGCACCATGGAGAAAGCCAGGCTAATATTAACACGGCTGTGCTCTTTACAGCACAAATAAGACGGGCCAGCGAGTATTTTCTCATCCTCACCAATGGTCTGGATGATGGCATTCTGCACTATCCTCTCCTCGCTCTCTCGGGAGTTGGTGCTCACACTGCTCGCAGAGTTGCGCCTGTCTCCCAGCTCAAAGTCCACACTCATCCGCAGGTGCTTCAGCAAGGTGTTGAACACCTCAAGAACTGTAGGGCCTAGAAAGGAACATCCACATTATATTTCATAGTTTTGGTGCATACTGTACAGTACATGAACAGTAGTGATAAAACAAATTTCTGAGAAGCAAAAGGCAGGGATGTTGTTAATAGGATACATCACAGTAGTTTTTGATTTCAGTGTTTTTCTCTTGTCCATTGCTTGGGTTTTTGAAATGATACATGCACTAGAAAGTAGAATCCCTTATGAACAGGTCTGAACTTACATGTCCCGGGGTTAAACAAGTTATAGGAAAGGTGATATTAAAATAGGGGGTGGAGTTGAAATATTGTCCAGAAAACAAAGCTAAAAATCTTATCCAGCCAACCGCCTCAAAGTATCCCACCATTAGCCTAATCTGAAATGAACATTCTCAAATCAGGTCTTTTTAACAGTGTGAAAAATGACCCACACTACATTACATTCTTTTGTTTAAATCTGTCTTTTTTGTGGGTGTGTTTCTTTCCTTCTTCCGGGACAGTTTTATGACAATTTATAATGCATAGGAAAAAGAGCTAGACAAATGAAAGGACGAAAACATTAAGATGATAAACTATCTGTTAGAAAGATCTGTCATGGATCCTCTACTTGCATATAAGAATGAACATAACGGTCTGAAAGGAAGTGTATCCAAATGATTATTTTAAAACATTTTCCAGGATAGAATAGATTTGGTGTAACTTGAGTTAAGCTCTATGTTCAGAAAGGACACATTATTTCTCCACTTTTTCCATGTGATTTCAAGCCTATTACTCTGCACATTCTGCTGAAGGATGGCTCAAGAACTCACACTTGATTTTGCTTCATGCCTTAATGTTGGTGTTGCACAATACATTAACATTCAGTTTCTCAACGAAGTAAATGCTATACCTATGTGATAGATGCCAATATTGAAATAATATGGCCCATAATAATGTAAACAAAATTATAAAGATCAGTCCCTTAGACTTCTACCCTTTATGACAAGTCAAATCATGCGGGACAAGTATTAATGTTAAGTTTAGTGTTCCAATTGCAAACAATTTCAGAAAAAATATAAAAGCATATAGTAAATGTAAAGCTTTTTTTTTCTAGGTGGAAGAATTCAGCTTCTGGCTGTAATTGAAACAAATGATTAATGGATCTGACTTTTAAAGGCGTATTCTAAAGCAAAATACATCGCAAAGTTAAAAAAAGAAAGTAAAGCTTGCTTTCCTTTGGAAACCTGCAGTAGATATTTACATGGGATGGACAACCCTGAGATTGCCAGTTCAATTTGCAATGCTGTGATACACAAATAATTACACTCTAAGAGCTGTGTGGGTCTGAAACAAGTTACCCAGCTATAATGTTGATGTAGATCTTGTCTACTTTCAAGAAAAGGCTGATGATCAATTAGCTGCTGGCAGCCAAACAAGTTAGATAGACTAAATGGCCTATCCTCATATATAACCTTTCTAATGCTCGTATTTAAAACCAATTGACAGACAGATGAAGAGAAAACCCATTGAACAATTAAAGGCTCATTTCCTGACCCACAAAGAAGTCACATTAACTAGAATATTAGTAGAATAATCTAGAGTAGAGGTATAGCAAACGCCTCCATTTTGCCCAAAAAACATCTGGTGCTCGTTTAATTCCTCTGAAATAGAAACTGATTGTCAATGATGGCATAAAAAATGTTTAGGTGGCAGTACACCAGCCTGAGGCAATAAAAAAAATCAGTCTAAAAGTTTTCTTCTACCTGTAAAATCCTAGAGTAGTGAAATGCTATTATTTCACATTGCTTCATTTGGTATTGGGCAAACATACTGTACTACACAGATTGCATGAAAACTCAGGGGATGGACTTTAGGGATGCCACAGAGATTGCATAGGCAGTTTTGCAAATCTGTTCATTCTCTTTTTAAAATATCTGGATATCTGAAAGGAATAGCCCACTGATCTGATTTAACCCCATAAATGATGGTAGAGATGGGTCTGAGAGAAATTTAAAATGATAAATGGATAGAAACAATTAAATTACTATAGAAACATACATTTTGAGAAAATGTACATGTTGTGTAGTTATGAAAAGCTACTGTATACATGTGATCAATTGCTGTTACTATTTTCACACTGTTACAGTACATCCACTGAAGTGACATATTTTAATTGTGTATATCAAAGTTATTTGTAGTTCTACACTGTAAATTAGAAGTAAAATATTATGGTTTAATTCAGGAGAAAGGTAAACTCCAGGCACTTTCATTACATTAAGTACGGGAGAAAAAAAAGCACTTTTCTAGCAACTGTGATCAATGTCCTTTCGCTTCAATTTGTTTTACCTCAATGAATTATTTTGTTTCACCGTTCAGAAAACAATATCTCAATGCTGACTGCTTAGAAGTGAATGCAGGGTGGATGGTGGGTAGGGGGGCAATGCAAAATTAAAATGTCCATCACACATTCAGAAGCATTTCCTCTTGCCCAGCTGCGTTGCTCAGAGTGTTTTCAAACTTTACGACAAGGAAAGAAGCGATTATGATTGCATACAGTAAGTACTGAAAATGAAATGTTCTTTTGTGTACTACAAATTCACATCCTTTCACTCAGACCATTCTAATTGAAGCTTTGTATGTTGAAAGATTATCAAAAAATGAATTATGACTGTAAGAGTAGCACACAAAGTAATTATGTTTATTCAATTTTTTTTATTTTTAAAAAGTTGAACTGAACTCAATTTTATGGTTAACATTAGTTTTTCATGAATGTATAATGAAGACCATATTCAATAATGATGAATACTGTATATAAGTTATATATATGTTTGTGACAAAATTGTTTTGCTCATTAGGATGATCAGTCAACCATTATTCAGTTAGTCCCTTGAAGAGATAATGAGAAAGCTTGCAATGTAATTAAATGTAAGCAGAGGGAAATATTTGGATTACAGGGCCTTGAAGAAAAATACTTACAGTACTGTACATCGTGACACTTTGTCCTTTGGAGAACTGAACATTAATGAGGGACATCTGTATAGATCTTTTTTTGAGATTACTAAAGGATCTCAAAAATCTACATTTAAGCTAGGGACCTACTTTATCCATTACTGAAGTGCAGCCACACAACACAGATCTGATGAAAAACTGAGAAAATAGCTCACCGACTGGAGAAAAGGAGAAAATTCAGTTAGTTACTTTAAGTCTATACAAAAGGACTAAAAGGAAATTTTAGTAAGGGTTAACAAAACTACTCCAATGAAGAGCGTCATTACATCTTTAATGGCCAAGAGGTCAGGGCCTTGATTTAGGATTTTGATCCAAAGAAAAGCACCACTTACAGTACCCTATTAAGGACAGATCATGACAGTGGTTACCAGTGACTAAAATCAAAATTCTAAAGCACTTCAGCGGTTTGACAGTGGGTTTCCTGATTGGGATTATGGACATTTGAGGAACATACACAACAACCTCACCTATGGATCCTTTGGCCGCTATGGCAACGGTTTCCAGGAGGACCTGCACAATGCCTGCTCTGACCCGAGGGGTATCCTTGTTGTGAGCATCCAGGTGGCTCAAGACCTGCTGTATTACATGGTGGGAATGCTGGGCCTAAAAAAGAACAGATTTTAAGCAAACATCCACAACTATGAGTGTAAGAAAGACAGAATTCTGGAAAATTGAAAGACTGTCAAATACAATTAAATTCAAAGTACTTTATTCATCCCCAAGGTGGGCAATTAATGAAGCAAGCAATGGAATATACAATACATCCCAAATAAAACTGGTAAAAGACATGGTATCTCAATATTTCTAAGAAAAATACAGCAAAAGGTCCATAAAATGATTATGAAAATATTTAGTACAGTACATGTGCATTTGCAGAGGGGGTTCTATCCCTCCATTTCCTTTCTAGAGCCTGATGGACTCTGAAACAAAGATACAGTTTTAAATTTAAAGTAACTGGTAAAGGAAATGTGGACAATTACAATTGCCTTAGATAATTCACAAAGCACCTGCTGTAACTTCATCAAAAAATGTTTATGAAGGTATACAATAGTTCTGTGACGAAAAGAAAATTAATTTGCAAGGGTTCTAGATGTTCCTATTATATCTGTATTTGGAATTATCTTGTGCGGGGTACAGGCAGAGGAGCCCATATTTTTTCACAAAGCAATATAATTTTTACTGTTGAATTAGAAAAAATAGATATAGCCAAAACAATTTAAAAATAAGTATAAAAACAACAGCAATGTCCTACTGTACTTTCTCCAAGATGTTAATTTTCCAGAAGCTGTTTAGGTGAAAACATCCTCAATATTCTAGGCCATGTGAAGCTCTTAAAACTGAAAGTTTCAGTGTGGAAAACAAAGTTTCAAAGAAAAAAAAAATATTCCCATATTGTATTGAACTGAACTGCAGTAAGCAACGTCAAAACCAAAGAACATTTTTTTCTCATAACACATGATCCTGGAAACTTTTAAATTAAAAATAAATAATGTTATAAACTTTAAATTCAAACATATTATAAATAAAGCAAGGAGACTCTGTTCCTTACTGTGTAAATGTCATCTGCCTTGTCTCTACTATTAATCCATGGCACTTCCCAAGACAAGAGAATTATATCTCAATTCAACTACAGAGAGATTAACCTTAAAAGGACCTTTTCAAGTATGAACATTTGGAAAGTTACTTTTTTTGTAGGCTTATTTCACCAACAAGTACATCTACAGTCAACATCACTCTAATGAGATTACAGAGCAACCCCGACCTGATCTTAAATGAAAGCGCTTTTAAAATGAAGGGTCAGTTGGATCAATCAATGATTTCTGAACTTGAAGTGGTGGCTTTTGTCTGTTGGAAAATCTGAGAAAACCAAACAAACAAACCAAAAAAAAAGACAGGGCTCGGTGGTGAAAAACTTAAATGGCACAGGAAATGTAAGAGACAAGTTTGTAAGCCATAGAAGGAGAAGTGAGAAGCGGCTGGAATGAAATGAAATTGACATGACCAGCCTGACAGATGACTTCGTCATTAGAACTTGGAGGGAAAAAAACAAATAATAAAAGGTAGATAAGATAAAGTTCGGAAAGAAAACCAAACTTGATTGAACCAAAGATGAGAGGATGAGAGGAATTTTAGTTTCAGACATTTTCGTGTGATATTTTGAGACTTTAATGTCAGGCTCAAATGTTTTTACTTTTCTTAGCACTAAATTGGGGACAGACACTCTCTATCTGAATGTCCTGCTGCAATGATCTGAACAGATCTGAACGGTGCTGTCTTTAATAAATCACTGAGTGCAGCAGCCATGTCTGTGGGGGTGGGAGAGTGTGTATGCTTATTTTTATATAAGTGATGAAACCCGGTAGCTATTTTATTACTTAAGATATGACTCACTGGCCCCCTGCTTGCTAAGAAAGTTTTTACTCAACATTCTCCCCCAGTTTTGCTGTGAATAATGCTCACTTTGTAGTGAATTCAATAACTGGGAGATACTGTAGATACTGCACAACCCCCGCCTGGAAATTAAGAAAACCTCATTGAGCTGACTGCCCTCCATTTATTTTTTATGAAGCCTTAATTGATAACACCAGATCACACACTGCAATGATCACCCAAAGCATCCCTGATATTGAACAGTATTCAAACAACAGACTTGCCTGCTCTAAGATTCAGTTTGAGGCTTTACACGTTTCAGTGGATCTAGTAACCAGGGATCAGTTGTGTTAGGTAGGTGAACAACATATTCCCTGTTTAAAAAAAAAAACAGACTCAAAATGAGCTCTGGATAATTAAGCCAATTAAGGTCAAGAGACAACCGTGTGAGGTTACTGGGTATGTCACTTTTAAATGTTTTTTTTACTAATCTTTTTCAGACATCCGGAATAGAGAACTTAAAGTGCATCAGGTATGAGGTGAAAGAGTAGTTTGTTCAGTCGTACCACTGTCATTTAACAGGTAAAGTGCAATTTCTGACAAGGATTTATTTCAGTGCCCTGTACATCAAGTATGTGCACAGTGTTTGGGGCACTTTACAGGGTAAAAACAGACAAAAAAAGTCAAAATTTCAATAACATTAAACGGAAATAAAGAAATGAAGACATGAAGGAAAAAGAAGATACTAATTAAAAGCTTGACTAGACAGATATAGCTTGAATCTAGATTTACCCTCTAGAGTTTACATTTCTCAGACTGGCAGGGAGTGAGTTGAGCAAGGTGACCGAAAGCATGCGCCCAGAGATGTTTGTACCTAAAAGAAGACACTAATAAAAGATATGTCTCAGCAGAGCATAAAGCCGTGCTTGGTGCACAGGGAGTAATGAAAGCTACTAAGTATTGTGGGGATTTAACATGTAGAGTTTGAAAAGTTAAAAGTAAAGTTTTAGACTGAACACACTGGAGAGCCAGAGAAGACGTGTCATAATTGAGGTGGTCATTGATGTGGTCACGAAGCCTTGCACCATGGTTAGAAGTCATGGTTTTATTTTGGTCCCGTGTGGGAACACGCAAGAGTCCCCCTCTCTTTTAATCCAAGAACCGAGCAGATAATTTTAACAAGCTGTGATATGGACGCCTGCCTATGAACCTAGGCATCTTCTTCATGGATAACGTTTCTGTTTGTACTACAGGTATGTCATCCACATGCAGTAATTTAGCTGTTTTAAAGTGGTATTCGTTCATGGACAGGAGCAGGAAAGTTATTGGCCCGGCAGCTGGTGCTTGATGTATTTGTCATTATTCTCTCTGTTGTGCTCTATTCAACTCCAGAGACGGTGACCACCGGCTACAGATGTGATGCAGAGAAACAATGCCAATAAAATTGGCAGTGTACACGTTTTAGGGGTCCCAAATTATCTTGCATAGGGATTGTCATGCCAGATTTTACACTAAAAAAGGGAATATATCTGACAGGTAACATCAAATGCTCCTGAACTGATCCCTGGGGTCTCCTTCTATTGGATGTAAAAAAAAAAAACAATATAACATTTCTCTCTGTCTAGAATATAAAGAACCCCTAAAGCTCTTTCACTGATATTTTCCAGGACAGCATGTTCTCACTGAAATACCTTATTATGATGTTCAAAAGATTTCAGAAACACACACAAAGTAACTGAACCAATCCAGACTGATGTCCTTGGATAAAACCCCACATTTACCTACATTTAACTGACATCTCATTCACAGCAGGGCAGTGGTTTTCTGCTTGAAACTGATTCAGGTATGGAAAGTGCTTGAGCTGTGGAAATAAATAGCATTCCCCACAGAGAGCAGAAAGAAACTTGGAAAAGATTCACAAGTGGATGAACAATATTTACAGAAAGAAGTATATGACCTGGTCCAGATGACATAAATGCATGAAGAATTTCCAAGAGAAAAGGGAAAAAAAAGAGCTGTTCAGTTTCTAAAGGTATGTACTCAGAGTGTAGTTTAGGAAGTCTTATATAATCTTTATTTGTTCCAGTCTGGGCTATGCCACTAACCAACAATGATCAGTATTTACCAAGTAGAAGTGCACAACTGACTGAGCACCACTTGGGTTAGGTGAACTTGAGCTGGCTATGATATCCAACTCTTTCCATACATCAATCTTAGTGACTCACTGGGTGCCTGAGAGAATACAGTGCTGTCTGAGAAAACTGCAGCTTATCTCCACCTGAAACTAGTTCCACTGTAGGAACCGTAGGACTCAAAGTGTGGAAAGAGACTGTTTAAAAAGGGTTGGGATTTCTGAAAACTCTTCCTATATGAATGATGCAGACAATCTCCTCGCACACAGCTGTGGTTGCACAAGTGCATTTTGGTTTATAAATAAAAACTATAAAAATAAAATGTGAAACACATTGTTCCAGCCTCCTTCGACCAATTGACGGGAGCTTTATTCGTCTGCCCACAGTATTTAAACCTTAATCTGCCACCGACCCTGTGCTCAGTCATTGAGTTACTGTACCTTCCATACCGGGTACTGCTCTCAGCATTGCTAACCTGCATCAGGATACAAGATGCCCAGTCTGTTCTGAGCCTGTTCTGCCCGTGTGCAGCCAGTGGCCTTCTCAGCATCGGACCTGTGGCACAGATCTCTGCCAGGCTCCAATACAACAGTGCAGCCCTTCTGTCTGCATCTGCCCTAAAAGCTGCACTCGCCTTCCAGTCCTGCCAGATCCCAGCTGCCATCTTGCTTCCACAATCTCCCAATCTCGGCCTGTCTACATCCTTCTTCAGCATTCTCTGTCAGTCTCCGTCTAGCGAGATGCTGCTGTCTCCGTCAACTAGCCATATCCTTATTTTAGAATTTTACAATACAATCATATTCTCAAAAAGAGTAGGGGTGTAACCCCGGCGTCCTGGCCAAATTTCCCATTGGCCCTTACCAATCAAATAATCCCCATCTATGAATTGGCTACATTACTCTGCTCTCCTCCCTACTGATAGCTGATGTGTGGTGAGCGTTCTGGCGCACTATGGCTGCTGTCGCATCATCCAGGTGGATGCTGCACATTGGTGGTGGTGGAGGGGAGTCCCCATTACCTGTAAAGCGCTTTGTGGAGTGTCCAGAAAAGTGCTATATAAGTGTAAGGAATTATTATTGTTATAATATGATTTTTTAAGAATAGAGAAAACAAAAACATATTGTTATGGAATAAAAATAAAGAAAAGAGTGATGAAATACCTTCCCAGTTTTCAATTAAGGTCCTATATACTGTAGACAGGGTAAAAGAACTGAATCCTTTTAATCTTGAACAAAAAGAAAACTACAAGGAGACCTGTATTAAGTATTTGAAATCCTCAAAGGCATTGATAATATCAACAAATTGAGTTCTTCAGAATTGAAAGCCAGATGACACAATTGGAAACTACAAGGAAAATAATTTAAATTGAGGAACAGGAGGCACTTCTTTATACACAAAGGGTAAAAACAACATTTTAAATTTCTAACTTGCAGTCTATTCTGTGCATGTTAGAGTTTGAAAATGCTGCTGTTACAGATCTTTGAGTAACTCTTAAAATGGTTATTGACCAAAATACTCAAAAGACATTTCCCTCTAGGCTGCATTATACTTTGACCTTAGCATAATTGGATGACCTTTGAACATAATAACAACATGGATTATCCATTTTATTTCCATTTTTAATGTCTCCAAGATCTAAGTCATTGAGCAGCTAAGTACCACAGGGCACTGACAGGCAGAGAAGAGTTATATCGCAAATTTAAGATGGTTAAAACTGACGACATAGCCCCGGGATAGGACTTATTTCATTACACAGTTTACAGATTTGTATCACCCACAACAAGGGCAACCCACTGTGTGTCAAACTCGTAACAAATATGCTAAAAACTACACACCAGAATCCAGTGCTTTTGAACTAACATTCTAAAAGTGTCAGCAGTAATGCAGACACTATTATGATTTTGTGTATTCTGATTCTGAGCAGTTGCTAAGGAACCAGACTGACCGGCCTATGACTAATGTAGTAAAACTTGACAAAAATCTGCTAGACCCAATCCAAAATTTATTGTGAGTTATTATTGTTGTGATAGTTATACTTGATTTCTAGTACTGGCTTTGCGAAAAGGGAGACAGAGTGAACACAGGGTTATTTAGCAAAGCATGCATAGACATACCTGAATGGAGTACATAATAATTTTGAAACACGAAACAGCAAATTCATTAGGATCCCAGAGATGATGATTATCTAAATGCCTGCAATAAAAAGAAGCCATATGTTAACATGCTTACAGATATCCACATGCAAATATAACAGGTTGGATATATTTTGCTTGTGATTGAAATCCACTGATACATCTTGATCAATATAGAAGTACTGTATACAGTAGGTCAAAAGATTTTTTTGGCTACATGTTTGCTTCTAGAAACAATCATATATATATATGCTTTATATTGATGTACTCCTAGACGTCAAAAGCCTTATGCTTAAGAAAATTAATTAAGAGTAGTCTTCCTATTTGTCTCCCTTAATAAAATGGATAAATTGCACACCTGGCTGAAATAACATCACTGTATTATTAACAGCTCCAACTGTACAACCTATAGGTCTTGCAAGTTATAAGAGGGACGGAAAGGTTTTGTGGCTGTATTGTCTTTTAAACAATGAATCTCCCCTTCTCTTTAAATCAATTTTAATTAAAACAAACAAATCTGTGAACTGTGAAATTGGTTAAAGTCACTGCGTAATGAGGTCTTTTTTTTCCTTTTGCTCTGGGGCTCTTTTAATAAAATAATTTTCAATTATATTGAGGTGCATTTCTCCTGCTGTACATATCATTTTGTATTTTAATACAGTTAATACAAAGCGACAATGGAAAAAGGCCATGTGACACACACTTACGTCAATGTAAAACGGTGGTGTTTTGTAACAATTATTAGCCAATACAACCTTTATTAAGATGAAGAACACAATGAAAACTACAAGGGAACCTGAATTAATTGATTTCCCTTCTATGTCAGTCTGACAAGAATCTATACTATAAACATGCTAAAATTAAGTTATTGTCATCTTCGGCCTATGATAAAGCGCATATTCTCATGTAGCATGGACTCAGGGGAAGCATTTGAACATGTCTATGAGCATTTTAATGTCCAATCAGCATTTGCATTAGTTGCTCGGCAGTATTCTCGAGAGCATTTCCCGGAATCATAACTGAATATCTGGCCAAAACCTTAAGTACATTAAACTACAAAAATTCTTCATAGGTAATTAGAACATCAATAAGATACCTTATAGCAAATAGTACTTTTCAATTATACTTGGGATTAAAATGTTTGAATGAAATTTCTAAAAAATCCTTTATTTTATTCATTGCATAAAATTTTGGAAGCACATTTATTAGCAAATGAGTTCTACTTTCAAGTAGTTAAGATGTGAAGGTCAGAAGACTTTTTCACTTTACAAGTAACATTTGAGTAATGACTAAAAGAAATAAAGTGATTTTTTAACTAAGATCTGTTAGGTTTTTTTCCCCTAACATCACTTAGGAAAATGCTGAAGAATTTTCGCTTTGCTTTTTGACCCTCAACAGGAACACGTCTCTAAATTTGATCAATAAAACTACACACTGCTGATTGAAGCAGATAAGAAGAACACATGCTAGGGCTTTTTAATTGTTTCTTTCCCTGGGAGGTTAGTGCAGCTTCAAGTGAACCAATCTCTTGCTGAAATAGCATTCAGCTCTAACTGGCATTGATCATAATGCTTGTAAGTGTCCGGGTGAATGTATTGAGGACCATCAAAGTTGTAAAACACCTCTGAAGCAAGGAATTCAAACTTGATTTTGGTGACAATTTCACCTTACTTTCATCGGAATATTTTACAAGGAACACCTTTCAGGAATATGGCGTATTTTTAAGAGGATGCCGTCACTATGAACTGTGATTATTAATTAGCTGTTGCTGTTTCACAATACTGATGGATTTTTTCCATTTCTTGCTCATGCACAAATACAGTAAATATCGGCAGTCAATGACAGGTGTTTTTCCTTTATTAGGGTTCACCGGCATGACCTAGCCAACTTAGACTAGCGATACAGATGTTAATGTACTGTAGGAAACACCTTTCATATGAATGCTTCAGGAGGTCTGTTTAAGATCTTAGACCAATTCAAAAACAATTGATTCACGCAATAAAGCTTTTACGTTCTTCACAAGTAAATACAATACATATATATACACAGTATCTGTATGTTCTGTATAAATATTTTACATGGCAAAAAGAAAGAAAAATATTCCTTTTAACCCATACTGATAGACTAACATCCTGGCAGGTTTCATTAAAACCAGCCACGTCTGTCAATAGATAAATTAGCACTTCAGAGCACTACCCTCACTTTAATTAATCTGGGAAGAGACAGGAAGCCGTGCCTTTTATCTGAGTTTACCTTTGACGCAGGAAACACACTAACAAGATAAAGGAAGCAATTCCATCAAACCATGGTAGAAATCAGTAGAATGTAAAGCATGTGCTCATCCCACAGACTTTAATAACATGTTCGCTTTTCTTCCATTTTAAAAGGACAAATTGTTGAGATACAAAGGGAAGAGTGTTTATACAGTAGCTGGAATTTTTATCACAGTTTGTTCACTTTCTATAGATACCTGAAGCTCTTTTGGAGTCAAAAGAGGAAAAAAAATGAAACAGAAGTAAAGACCATTGACAAGTTAACACATTGTAGGAGTTTCACATGTATGTATGAAAAGAGCTATAAGTAGGCAGAATCCTTCAAGGTAGTAGATCTCTATAGGAGAGAGACCAATAGAAAGGGTCTCTGATTTTGACTAGAACACAAAGGTCAAACCACTAAAGAGGTGCTTGAGCACCAGAATCTTCCAAAACATATACTGAATATCAACAGAAACATATCACCCTACTTACATGTATACTGTACCCAAGCGGATTTAGCAAAATAAAGTTAATTTAATAAATATAAAATACATGTCATTTAGTTTAATTGGCATTCATGACTGCGATATAGTACAGTGACCTTGAATGTTGAATAAACAATACATCCTGTAGTAACAAATCTGATTGGTCACAGGTGACTAGGTGATTAGACTGGAGTAAATAATTAGTGCATTGTTGCACACCATGAAACCAAGTCTCCTTTAGCAATGAATCATGGTTTGGTGTAGACCACCCTGAACATTATTTAATGTAGAACGGATATGCTAATGGTTGGGCCCAATAGACCAATAGATGGAAAGATCCACAAGTCATGGGCAGGGGTGTTTAGCCACTACAGACTTCTTGCAGTGATTGATTGCAATCTGATGGCATAGCGCTGCAGTGATCTGCCCCATCCTGGGAACTCACCTGTTACCCTTCCTGGGCATTCCTTCCAATGTAAACGGCATAACTGTAGGATAATGCACATCCTTACGCATCCAATGCAGTAACATAGGAGATGGGAATGTGAGAGTTATACTGTACATACCATGGACACTCTACTCGCCGGAATTGAACTGCTTTGAACATTGGTGAAATTAACTGGGAACAAAGTGTTGCACCCATGGCTCAGAGACTAATTAAAACCACATGCTTATCCAGGCACTACATAAGGAATTGGTCAGATTACCATAAAACAATCTCTGAAAACTGCATAACTGTGTAAGGCATATTTTGCAGGTGCAGATTGTGGTGTCCTGTACTGCATGTAAGCAGCATCCTGAATATACCTATTTACAAAAGAGGTCATTTTCCGCCAACCTCTGTGAATTGGTTGAAAATATGATACAGTAAGTGTGTTTTAGTGCTCACTATAGAAAAGGTTAATTTGATTATTTTCTCTTACTTGCCTGTCCCAGAATTGTCTCCTTCTGAATTCAGAAAAAAACATTCTGCAATGTGGATCTCCTAATGGGCATTGGAGTATATGAATGAAGTATATATTCTAAATATAAAATTCTGTTAAAAATGTTTCAAAATGATAAACATAATTAGAACATTTTGTAAGCATATTTCTTTGAAAAGAAAGAAAGGCTTAGCCATTATTAAATCAGTTTGCAGCTATTTCTTATACAGTAGATTCTTGGTTAAAGGTTTGGACCTGCAGATGGAACTATATCTTCTCTCATATAAAATGAAATAATTTTATTCCCTTTGGATGCAATGCACTACAGTCTCTTAGAAATCTGTACACACTTCATGTTGCACCACTGTGGTTTGCTTTGAGTTCTACACAAATCATATCAGAGAATCTTCACTGAATCAGAAAAGGTACATGACTTTTGTTGTCAAGTGAAGAGCAAGCCAACTGTAAAGTATTTCATGCTGTGCATTCATAATGCCTACACACAAGATGCTGTTTACTGTATTCCCATCACTGTAGCTATGTAATTCTCTTAAAATAGCTGTTCATTGAGATGCTTGTCCTTACAGATTTCATCTGCAATCTTACTCTTCTGCATTCAACAATTTCAATCCACAGCCTAACATCCTAACAACAGCTGATAACAACTTGTAATGACCGTTCTCTTCATGACAAATGTTAAACTGTGATGTTAACTTTGCAAATAGCATTTGTAACCCTTTCTTGGTTATGACTGCTAATCTTCCAAGAATACTGACAACTTAATGAGCACTGTCATCTGTCAAAACCGCCAATCACTTGGATTCACTTAGTGGCTCAACACTGTTTTCTATAAGAATCATTCTTTGATTTTCTACTCATTCCCTCGGAAACCAGGTGGCTTCCAGGCATTTATTGCTCAGTGACCTGGCAGACAAGCTATTACAGTAGCTGTTTTTTTTCCAGATGAAGATGTAAGATGTTTTCACTTCTTAAAACCTGCTATTCAAGGTCTTAAAAGGAGGAGAAGGCATCTATCATAAGACTGCTTCACTAAAGACAAAAGGAATGAAACAAGGGCAAAAAAAAGTATTTAAAAAATGTGAGCACATTATTTTTAAAGGCAAAAAGGAGGTGTCATCTCGTCATTGTTTTAAACGCTGTTGTGAAATAAAATCCCACACAAAAGACAACTCTGGGCTAAAAATTAAAATGACTACATTCTTTTTTTCTTTCCTACACGCCAATTTTCATTCTGGACTTAGAATACCAAAGTACTCCATGTAAAGTAAGCAAGCTTAAAGGCAAGTTTATGATTTTAGTCATTATTAATAACACACAAGACTCTGCTGTCTACAGAACATTCTATAGCAGCCCTTGCATCTCTATTAGCCTCTTGCT